TTGTGTTTGTGTACGCGTATGAATTAGACGCTTTATTAGCCCTACATCGAGCCACGAGTCTTTCGAAACATTACACGTATTACATGTCAAAAGTTTCGTCAATGACATTACGTTTTATAGCTTTTCGACTCGGATGTCAGATCTTCGGAGCCTTAGAAAATGTAGTAAGACAACTCGTGTTAATGTTATTGTTTACATCTCACGCAAACAGTCTGCTGAAAAAGAGCTCGAAGCAAATATACATGCCCCGCACAAGAGGAGTCAGGCATTAGAAAAACATAGGCTGCTTTCATGTTTTTTAATAAGATTTGGAAAACCAGAGATATCTCACTTCAAACAAAACTGAGGATTTTCAACACAAATGTGAAGTCACTCCTGTTGTATGGATGTGAAACATTGAACGCATCACAGACTTGTATAAATAGGATCCGTTTTCTTGAACAAATTAGATCTAATGTCTAAAAAAGTTACTGAGGATCAGATGGACAGACAGTGTGACCAACTAAGAAGTGTAAAGGAAACAAGACAGATCCCAGTCAGAGATGAGATGGGAAGCAGGGGCGGCTCGTGGGTCTAAAAAGTGGGCGTGCACAATTAAGCTATCTTAAGCTGAAGATAATCAAGGGCAGAGTAAATGGGATGGTGTACAATTTTAGGATCTTTTGGTTGGTGAAGGAAAACCTTGTGCTTTTATTTTCATTCTCTTTACTAGTGGCTTTGACTTCTAGAACTAAATCTGTTTGTTAGCTAAACGTCAATTTCATTCATCCTGCATTAAAACTGAACACTCAAGTAATACCTTTCTCCACTCCACTACAAAACCGTTCAAAAACACAACTCATAGGACGACGACTTAAGTATGTCACGTTCACCTCCATCAGGTTCATGGTTACAGAGTCACTTAAAATAGCGACAAGACAATGAACCAATCACAATTCACTTGAGCACTCCGATGGATTGCTCCGGGGCCCACATAATTTGGGCATGGAATAGTGCACAGTCTACGGCGTTTATTTTTAGATTGCCTACTGTGGGCTATGTTTCGGCGCTATTCGGCAGGAGCACATTTGAGATGTGCCGTCTTATTAATATCAATGTACAGCCAAACTCTCTACAAATGTAGTCATCGCTTGGGTTATCCCAAAGAACGATTTATAGGTCAGGTTTCCTCTGTTGAATATCCCGTTGTGTTTAGATACAGCGCATGAACTTAGGCGTGGCATAGTAGATGTTTTACGGCGCTATAGAATAAAAATGACAATTACGGCGAGAGCGAGGGCCTTGTTTTGATATAATATTTGGCTAGTGTTTGTTTCTGGAGTCTTTTATTTTATTATTGTGGGTGCTTTACGTCATAGAACATTAAAACATTTTGGGCGGCACTGCACGACCGTGCTCTATGGACGAACCACGCCTGGTGGGAAGAATTAGGCTGTGGCGATAGATTGGACATACTCTCAGGAAGTCAGGCAGCTGCAGAACAAAGAAAGTGTTGGATTGGAATTCACAAGGTAAAAGATCAAGGAGAAGACTGCCTGGAACCTGGAGAAGAATCACAGAAATTGATGTACAGAAAAGTGGGAGGACATGGAATAACATCAAGAGGCTAGCCCAGAATAGAGCAAAGTGAAAAGTGTTTGTCCGTGTCCTATACCCTGGTACAGGGTGAGAAAGGCAATGGTGATGATGACACAAGAAAACTACAGCCATTCGTGACAATTGTTTGTAAAGACGTCTTAGACTTAAAGCCCAACATAAAACGCTGATTCTCCTCATGATTTGAGATGTCAGCATTTTTGGAGGTCTCATTATTATTATATGGACCTTTCCTTTTATAAGCATAGTAGAAGCTTTCAAGTCAAGTTGCCCAAACAGAAATACGATTTCCCATTAAGCGTCAATGTCGGAGATCATCTATACTTTACTTCTTTACGTTTGGTGAGAAGCTAACGTGTAAAGAAAAACCTTGCCATACCTAGGCACGTCCGTTGTTATTTTGTGAAACAGTATGCTTGTGTTGAAACGTAGGAGACTTTTGGAATAATAATGCTTTTATTTTTGTCTTGCAAGATCTAGCCTTTCAGAAACCGGAGAGGGGGGGGGGCTCTCGTAGTCTTGGGGTATGGTGTTGAAGGTGTGTTCCTCTCTTGTTCAAAAGATCCCAGGATCGAAACCTGACAACGACGAAAACATTTTCTTGTCAAAAATTGTCTATAATCTCCAACTTTCATGTTCTCTAGTCCTGCTACAGGGTGAGAAAGGCAATGATGGCCCGCTTGCTTGTCCTTAAAAGCGACCAATTTCAAAAATGAATCTTGAAAGAGTTGAAACCGATACTTTTTAAACACTTGTTTGCCTTTCCCTCAAATTGCTATCAGTCCAAAACAAACCACCGCAATTTAAGCAGAAAATACATGAATACATTAAGATCAATCATTAAATAGTAGGCCTAATAATGATAGGCGAGCCAGAAACATGGATTTATTATGTGTATAGTGGACTAAAAAGGAGATACATGGCCAGAAATCATTAGAATTTAGATCATAACATAGTGTACCATAATCTTCGCTGAAACAGAATTTTTTCAGGCCATACTGGCCTGATTTTAGCAACTTAGTAGGTCCGAGAATTATTAAAGGTTATTACATGGTTTTACACAATGCAAGTATTTATTTTTAAAATTTTAATTGGCAGTTTTTCAGCATGTGGGCACAAAATTAATTACAATTTTGTTTTTGTTTGACTTTATAGTATTTTTTCTTCTGCTTTTATTGACTTTGAGTTTATGTGTGCAACCCTTTGTCCTCATTCATAATCTTTAGCTTATCTGGTATATTTTTACTTTTTTTTGCTTTAAAAGAATAAGAGCTCTTAAAATGGATGCGCCCTTGTTGAAAACCAAGACTAGGTAAGTGTTTGTTTACATTCCCTTTTTTTACTTTGATCACTTTGTGGATCTAGGCAAGCCTTAACCTACACTTACTTTTGGTGTTGAACCAACACAGGCAATTCTAGGTCACAAATGCACACAAACTCAAGCAGAAATTCACGTTATATCGAGGAAGATTTATTATCGGGGGACGGGGGGTCAGGAAAAGACAAAGACACACCCCACACACACACAAACACACACGAACACATACACACAGAGGGACAGAGAGGCGAACACACAACACCGAGCACTCGAGCACAATAAGCTAGATCTACCCACCAACACAAGAGAGCTCCAATTTACTCGGTGGCAATTGACAAAAGGCCACCTCTATTCTCACCCGGTGAGAATAGTGCAGGCGAGTCTTTTACTTTTGACTTTTTTTGGCTATTCTCACCCGGTGCGCGTTCACCGTTATAGCCTAGATCTAGATCTAGGCCAACCAATTTTGCGTTCACCCTAAACCACAGAATTCTACACTGTGATAACAGAAAAATTGTAGAATTCTGTGCTGTGAACAAACGTTCCATTATTACTGTTAGCCTACTAAAAGCATACAATTTTGTCTGTGGGCAGTGGAGAGAGAGAGAGAGGAGTAGCGCGAGAACTTCCGGGCAAAACAAAATGGCGACCCGCGTAGTTCTGCTCGATTCGAAAAGTTAAATAGCCGTAGCATCTTTGTAGACTTACTTTTGTGTTTTAACATCATTTTTTAAACTTTGTTTTGGTCAATTTGATCATCCACACCGATAGACAGTGTATTCAGAAAGAGATAGAGAGAGAGAAGAGGGGAGGAGTAGATCTTGCGAGAACTTTCGGGCAAAACAAAATGGCGCCCCCCGTAGTTCGGGTCGATTCGAAAAGTGAAATAGCCATAGCATCTTTGTAGTCGTCGATAAAATTAGCTTACTTTTGTGCTATAACGTAATCTTTTCTTTGCCTTTTTATCCATTTGATCATCCACATCGACAGAAGGTATTCCGAAATTAGGAAAAACAGGTCTTGTTTCACATCGGGTGAGAATAGCCTATGGTGGCAAGTCTCACCCGGGGTAAGAGGTCGATCGTTTTCTATTCTCACCCCGGGTGAGAATAGCCACTTCCTTGACAAAAAGTCAATTTTTGTCAATTGCCACTACGTCACTCGGTGGCAATTGACACTACCTTTTCGTTTGGCCATAGGCTATGGTTAAAATAACAAGGTAAAATGAAACCGCTTTGTTTTAAAAATTTAGGCCAACTCTATTCGAACTTGAGTCCGCATTCAGTGGGTGTCGCATTCAACAAGGTTGCCGGGACCGACTTGTTGTCCTCGTTGGATCCGACCTCTCATTGAACGTGACTAAGGCTAATAAAGACAAGAAAGGAGACAAGCTGTTATATTACATGATGTACCGATACCAGTAATTTAAACAGCTATTCCCTCTGATGACGAAAGTCTCAAAGAGCATCAGTGTGTGCGTGTTTTGGCTGTGTACTGACCGTCATTTCTGCATTATTATTTTTTTCCCCGGAACACTTCTTGTGTGGAAACATGATACAATCTTACATCTAGGCTTTGATCTAATAATACATATTTAAAGTAAAAATGGGAGTTTGGATTTTCTGATCGGGGAAGAAAAGAAAAGAAACAAAAATGAAGGTCTCAATCTAGCCCTACCCATCCAGAGTTCATCCAGTTTCACACAGTCCGCATCGCGTTCCCACCCACCCAAGGCCTTCTCAGTATCGCTGTTAAGTTAACCTTCGCCCATCCACTTGACTTTGGAGAACATGATATTATAGTATTAGGAGGCACACTAGATAGCAATGCAAAGCATTGGGAATGGAGGATGAGTCTTGTGCTTTGCATGAGATGGAGAGAAAGGAGAAAAATTCTTCGGTTTTGAGGCCGCTAATTGCTGTTATTTGGTTATCACGACTTCGTTGAAAGCACCATCATGTCCAAATACTAGATCAAGGAATTCCAAAATGTTATTAAGCATACACCAAAAACACGTCATTCCATGTGGTACCTCCACAGCTTTCTGAAAATAGTCAGTGGGTATCATAGGAAGTGATGACATCACATTACTAAAATTTTCTCAGCCAATCAGGAAGATGCGTCGTTCTACGTTTAACGGCATGTCCGCTAGACTGATAACAAGATCTAAAAAAACGAGACCATTTCACTCCACTATTAAAAGAACTGCATTGGTCCCCTGTAAAAGAGAATAATATTTAAAATTTTGTGTCATGTGTTTCAAATGTGTAAATAAAAATGCTCCTTTTTATCTACAAGAACTTATCTGTATATATATAAGCCAGGGAGAAACCTAAGATCATCAAACGATAACACCCTATCTTTCTCATATATCTCGGTCCATTTATGTGAAACAAATTTCCTATAGAACTAAGAGAGATTTTACCACCCTAGGAGAAAGAGAGTTAAAGAGGAAAAATCGTGAAAAAAGAAGTTGAACTCTCGAATGAGCCTCGCCTTTCTTGACAGAATGGTACTTATTTCGACCAAATTTAAAAATCGACGTTTGTTGCATTTTGTCGTCAAACTGTTCAAACATGACATTGTATATTTTATGACCACTATAAAAAAAATGTGTTGCAAATCAGAATTAATGGTTTTCTAAGAAATGTCAAACCTTATTGCAAAGCATCAAATTACAGGAAAACAGATCTAGGTTTTTAAAATTCTGCGGTCGTAGTAACAAAGATTTGAATAGAACCCAGGCTGTAGGCCTACTACATAAATTAAGTCTTAGCTATTAGCAGTAGTACTTACTAGTCATGCATCTGAGAAGAGAGATGATTGATGAATTATGATCGCTGATGTCTGTTTCAGATGTGGCACAACACGATGATGACTCACTGTTAGTCTGATTAGATGTGATCCAGGCATTTTAATTAGAGCAACCCAATTGAAAAAAAAAAAGGATCCTGCCTCTTGCACAGAGCTTTGGAGGACTTTATTTCAACTATAACTATTGATGTATCGATCAAAGGATGGGATCAAGATTTTCATGGGCCCCTACAGCATACAAAATGCTTGACGGGATATTTTGCATCTTTAAACCACCAGGACTCCCTGTGTTCAGAGCTGTTGAAAGCATTCAAAGAAACTTAGCCAGTGGTAAGTTCTAATTTTCTTGTTCAATCATAGATGGATACTATGGGAAACTGTTGTGTTAGTATACATTGATAAAAAAACTTTAAAATGTAATCACCCAATCATCATGTTATTATAGCCTTACTCTAAGCGCTCTTGCTGTATACCAATTTAAAGCTCTAGATAAATTCTGCTCTATGAAAAAACAAGATTCAGGATTTGGCGACAGGATAGCTTATAGATTTAGTTCTTTTTCAAACCTCCTTTCAATGAATTAGAACATGTTGAACCATTGAATATGTGACTTTTCATCCATGATAAGTAATTTATCAATTACTGTTACATTATGCCGAAAAATTATGCTAAACTTAAAACAATACAGTTGATGCTTCTCGTGTAGCCAGCAAAAATACAGCTCAATCACGATCCATTTTAAAGAAAAAAAAACTAGAAATGTTGCAAAATCATTGGTTCTAGTCAGGTAGAATTCAGTGGTTTGTCTGTTAAAGGAACGACTGTCAGATCTGTTGGCTTCAAGACTGAAAGAAACAACAAAAAATATTTGTAAAAAGATAATGCAAAGGTAGTGTTTTATTGGAGTAGAGAAAGGGAAGTGCTACTCTACTTTGCAATGTACAAACGCTGCCTTCTAGATGTGCTAAATTTGCTTCATGCATTGGGTGTGTTTGATAACAATCCGAATAAGTGGGGACTTTTCTAGAGTATCAATATGAGGTCTTAAATGTTTGCTACTCCCTAATGGACATTCATTTAGGTCCATTCCCATTGGTCACTCATTCTGCTTAAGAGAGAATACATAGACCACAACTAGAGAATGTATGATGATCTGAAAATGGCCCACTTCTTACTTGGCCAACAGGGTGGACATAGTGACAATTATGGTTTTATTTTTCAGATCTGAATGCCCTACCTTGTTATGAGTATGAGATTCCTCTCACAAGAAGTCAGCCCATTGCAGAAAATGAGACAGAGACATCCCTTTCCATAGAGGCCGAGCCAGTGTCGTTACAGAATTGGTCAGAACACAGGCTTGGTATGCATTTTGTTGATTTTTCTTCATAGGCCTATTTGTAAAGTCAGTCATTTATTGTACTACATTTAAATAAATATTACATTTAAATTGCTCTCTGTTTATTATTTTTTATTTTGTATCAATGTTGCAGACGGTTTCAGAAAGTTTATAAAGATAAAATATGATGATGCCATGGTGTGCACTTAACAACTATCATTAACCCAGCAGACCCTTGTACACTCAAGAACATTATTAGCTTCACAGGATGCATACAGTGCAGCTGATTAAGAGCTCAAACATCAACAAACTGTCTGGGTGAAGTGAAGAAAATTCATGTGAAGTGTCTTTCCCAAGGACACTTTGACAGGGTTCGAACTCATGAACTGTTGGTTACAAGCCCGATGGCCTAACCATTAAACCACGACACCACATTGTACTGCATTGTTGAAAGAACTTCACTGCAGGTTGGGTAGACTTTATAACTGGGTAAGCTCACTAACTGTGCTTTGTCTATTACAATGCACAGTTATGTGCTATGTAGACTTGTTCAAGCTTAGCATCCCTTCCCAGTTCTCTTTGAGTAAAATAAGATGACTGCTATTTTCTCTCTCATATTTTTTTCTTTTTACAGAAATTGCTGTTCTATATAAAGAAGAGGGTAGACAGTTTCAAAATTAGTTAGTCATGCTCTTATAATAACCCAGGTCTGCTTAATGCCATTCTCTTATGCCATTTGTGAAATTTCAGTTCTGGGCCCTCGTTTTGAAACATCTGACTTCAGGATAAGATTTGTGGATGGAATGTCAAGCTCAGCGTCTGGAATTTTAGGTCAGTACTATTCTTAAAAGGCCTGAGTCACACACATGCACACACTCCCTCACACTAGAATGGGAAGTGTTTTAGGCACCCATCACAGGATCAATGTTCTCTTTTTCTTTCTATAATTGGACTCCCGCGGAGAGCGGCATCCTACCGCATGCAGTCAGATATGTGACGACCTCTTTTTGTCTGGTCCATAGCACACCTGGTCCGCGCCGGATATTGTCTTGCAGCAGCGGTTCGCGATACAGGTCTCCCTGCGGTCACTCGAATAGTGCGTGCCGTAAGTTGTCAAGACTGACTCCACATCTTGGGCACGAGTCGTCTGGGGTAGAGCCTAGCCTATGGGGGGATGGCTGTAGGATAGGAATTTTCATGTTGCAACGTAACTGTGACAATATTCTTCTTTGTCTTCTGGAGAGATCGTTCTCCTTGTCCCGCTCCGGTGGTGGTTTTACCTTCCCTCCAACAGAATCATGGACTCAAGCGTGCTCCCATTCGTTGGCGTCAACATACTGTGTGATGCATTTCCCTGCGGAAGCCAGATCTATTTGTACATTAGCGGGACCCTCATGTAACATCTTACAGGCAGCCAGGAATAGCAAATTTTGCCAACTTTTGTGCCATCCATGTTTATGGCACAATCTAAAAATTACGCCTTTTTAAGATGTGCTATGTACGTCATAGTCATAAGGTAACAAAGGGATTAGTCCTTATTTCTTCTGTTTCCCTTTAAAAAATTGTCACCTTTGCAGATGCAGAAGTCATCATCAGGCATTAATTGATTAGCTATTTTTATCATTATTTATATAATTTTATACAGCTATTGTCATAGTCATCTTGTTGAAAGGTACAACTTGTAACTTGTATGTTTTTAAACAATTTTTGCCATTCATAATGTATTTCCAGTCTTGGGAATTGGTCGTCATGGGCAACGCTTCATTGACCTAATCGCTCAAGCCAAGTACCTTAGGGTAAGTGTCTCAATCTTAATAGTAACCTTTAGCGATTTACCGTGGAGTCCTCTTCAACGGATATGTTTGTTGGACTGCCTGATTTTCTTCGGTTTAGCTGGTTTTCAATCTAGAGAGGCTACTCAAACAGAATTTTTAAAATCTGTGATTTTATTTTAGTTTAGTTTACCGCTGTTTTCAGTTAACTATCCTGTTTAGGTACTCTTTTTATCCTTTAGTATAACCTAATGCTGTTTATTAGTGATGACACCTGTTTCATTTTCTCAACAGATGATTATCATAAATAGAACAAGCTCTAAGATTGCTAAAAGTTTGTTCGAATGACATGGAATATTAACTGAAAGTTTTGTTGAGTTTGAAAAAGAAATCATGAGTGAGACAAATCTTTCCGGGAAGCATTATCATTCCTGGGCTTTGTAGGGTATTTAAATTAATTGCATTGAGATGTCTTGTGGAGCTTGATCTTTTATTTTAACTTGAGATGTATAGTTTTTGTTTTCTGTGGTAATAAGTGAATGAGACTGGTCTTTGGTGGGTTCACTTTAATGTGTCTTCGTTTACTTTTTATTCCTTTTTAGGTGTATCATCTCAAAGGTCGGTTCGGTTGGGCCACTGACAACTTCACTGCGAAAGGAAGAGTTCTTGAAAGAACTAGCTATAGTAGGTTCCACATAATTATTTGTTTTTATTATATATTTCATTTTCCTTTTAGAACACAACACAATTCATATATATAATAAGCAAGATAAAACCACCCACAGCGAAGTAATACAAGCGAATTTGGTACGGACACGCACATTTTAAGAATCCCCAGATACAAATATACTCTGTGTTTGTGGCTTAATCTCTAAACCAAAAAATTAGAACCGGATGATTAGCGAGACACACATGTAACATCTTATAGGCAACCAGGAATGGCAAATAATTGAAGCATATCGTCAGCTGAGTGTAAGACTCCATCGTATGCCACAATTTAGAATGACGTACGGTAGAGTCTTACACTAAGCAGTCGATAATATATAATGTCAAAAATAGATAATTGCCCAAAAAGTGGCCCAGCTCAAGATCTCTATCAACTTTGTCAGTGATTCGGCCTCTAGAAAATTGTCAAATGTTCGTACTTTTCACTTGCAGCGTAACACGCTTACATCAATAAAAGTTGGGCTTAAATTTTGTTATTAAGTGTCAGCAAAGTAAGAGTTTTTCTGCTGAAGAAGTTAGAAAGTGGAAATATTTTTAAATATTTTTCTGTGGCCTGTTTGTTTGTTCTATGTCTGAAAAGTGTGAAAGGTTCTATGTAGTCTGTGTGGACAAATAACTGAAACATTCCAGATTGCAAGTAGTTATGACAGCTTTTAAATGTGTAACCACTTTACTGTGTCCTTTGTTTTTTGTTTTTTTTTGGTAAGTTTTACCGCGCTCGCAACTGCATAAGGTTGGTGGCTTAGTGGTTAAGCTGTCAGAATCGCAACCTTGAGGTTGTGGGTTCGAATCTCGTCAGGAGCCCAACGTTGTGTCCTTCGGAAAGGCACTTTACACGAATTTTCCTCACTTCACCCAGGTGGGAATGGGTACTCAGCTATCGACCGTGAATGATCTTGTCAGTTTGTTAGTTAATGAGCACTTAATCAGCTGCTTGCTCTGTATGCTTCCCAGGAAACTGAGAATGTTTCTAAGTGTTCTATGGTCTGCTGAGGGAATAATATAGTGTATAAAGTTCATGGAGTAGAGCTTGCTGTCGAGCAGGGATCTGTGCTATACAAATGCTATTTATTATTTAGTTTTATTATTATTAATATGAGCGTGCGGGACACATTAAACATTTTCAGTTGGTAGGAAATTTTGAATTTTGCCTGGGTGGCGGCCGAAGCCTACTCTTATCAATTTTGGACCACCAAGGGATCTTTAATGTGTGCAACTCGTACGTAGGACCTTTGAGGTTTTTCGCCATTTTCCGAGAAGGCTAGGTGTGGATCTTTCCTACCAGAAGATCAGGTTAAGAAGGAGCCAAGGAGTAGCTGTAGACAGGCTGCAGAAAGAGTCAGGAGCCCAGAGGAGGGGGCAAAGGAGGTGAGGGGGTGGGGGCTGAAAGAGGAGACGAAAGCAGATGACAGAACATTGCTAGAGAGCAGGAAAGGAGGTGAAAGGAGACAATTTTAGAGATGAAAATTTTTCGGTCGCTACCCGGATTCGAACCCGGGACCTTTGAATAAGAGGCCAACACCTTAACCTCTAGGCCACGAGAGCCCCATGAGAATATTTCTGAGTGTTCTAGGGTCTATTGGGATTATAATGGATGAAAGATGCATAGAGGATGCTGTAGAGTGGATATTCTCTATATTTATAAATGTAATTATTAATTATTGTTAAATGATGAATACACTCAGAGTCTGTTTATCATGTACACTGTCTTTTCCTGTGTTGCTTTTCTTTCTATTCTGTAATGAAAATTGAATGTCAATTTCTCATCAGAGCACTTCAGCACTCTCTTATTTCTGTTTAATATTTTTGCTTTTTAAAAAAATCCCACAGACTAAATGACCATTGTTCTTTTTAGTAAGAGTTTTACGACACTTGCAACACAATAAGATCATATATCATATAAGTGCCGGATATTAGATGCATTACAAGAGGGTAACATACTCAAAAAAGGAGAAATAAGGACGATAGACGTTTGATAGGAAAGAAGGAGCAAACCACAACAGAGCACCCGCCAACCACCCAGGACCATTGTTCTGTCAATGTGCAGCTCTTTACTCAAATATCAAATAAACTACTCTTTACTCAAACAACAAATAAACTACTATTTACTCAAACAACAAATAAACTACTCTTTACTCAATTTACTCAAATGACAAATAAACTACTCTTTTCAGAACATGTGACTCGATCCAAACTAGAGAAAGTGTGTGCAGCAGTTCAAGCCGCTTACAGCAAACAGATGCATGTGTGAGTAACTTGGATGAAAAGCTCCATTATCTGTTGTCTTATTGGAAAATTAGTTTTTGATTATATAATGAGTCAAAGATGTGGTTGGTGGGTGCTTTGGTTTAGTCTACTGTTTGCTCTTCTTTGCAGAATTACCAGTATTGTCCTTGTTATCTGTTTGGCAGCCCAAGACCTTTGTTCTCTGGATAATGTACCTGTAGACGAATGTTTACTGTGATATGTTTTGCTGTTTTGTTTTCAACTAAAATTCCAAATCAGTTGAAAAACATTTCAGTCTTTTCATCGTTCTTCCTTTCTCCATCTCATCAGGTTGAGCGGTGTTGATCCAGACAGTCAGGAGGCATATGAAATGGCCAGCTCTGGCATAATCCGGCCTGCCAAGAGACACACTTCTCCCCTGCTCTACGGAGTACGCTGCATTGACTTTCAGTTGCCTGATTTCACCTTAGGTAAATGTGAATGCCACAGAATCTAATTATCCATTGCAGCTTCATCCCCAGCATATTTCCTGTTTGTATGTGATTGTCTGATGAAAAGAAATCAAGTCCTGTTGTTTCACATACAGGCAAGAAGTGCATCAACAGTAGGACTGTGTTGGGAACAGAGTTTATGTATGTTAGACTTTGTTTAACACGAAGCTGTTAAACAAGAAATTTCGGGGGAGTTTTCTTCCCTCTTTATTTTATGCATCGTGAACTTCCCTTAACATAATTGAAAATTCCTGCAGATCTGGTTAACACAAAGGAATTTGTATAGCGCTGTTTCATCATTCCTTCCGGCTGACTCTTCCTCCCCCTATTTTTTTTCCGCTTACAGTAGCCTACCATTGTCAGTACGCGTCAGATAAAACACATTCAAGACTTCCTGTCGAGTTTTCCTTCCTACTTCCCTTGCACATCAGATGGTGAGAGAGCTGTTCTGGTCCTCAGCACAGGGGCCAAGACACAAGAAAGCTGCCAACATTCCCTAAGTGACGTTCTTTTTTCCCATCACTTGTCTATCATCCTATCTCTCCTCCTTTATTAAAATGTTACTCTCAAGTAACACCTAATCTTTGCCATTTTTATAATCTATTTGTGTTGCAAGTGCCATGAAACTCCAACTAAACTAAATCCCAAAGTAAATGGAAATATCCCATTTTTAAAACTTTCAGATTATCGATTATCTTTATCATGTGCGGCTCCAATTTATCAGTTTGTTGTATTATCTACTTTTGTTCTTAAACTGTTAAACTGATAATTAGTTTCGAAAAAAACATTGAGTTAACAGCTATGATCTCCCTTGAACATCATTCTGTGCAGTCAAGGCATCTAGAAACAGACCAAGCATTTGAACTGAACAATGAGTGAGGAGCCTCCTCTTTTTTTTTTTTTTTTGCTCGTTTCATAAATGCACTCACTCAGCTCAACACAAAGAAATTCTCTAGTCCCTTGAAGTTTATGTTATACGGCTTTTGACACACCTTGGACTTGGAGAGGTATTGATAGTGTGAATTTGATTTTGAAGCAGTGAAAGTTACTAGACAACTTGAATTAGCTTCTGAGCATGAGATGTATCTATATCCAGTGGAACTGTGAAGAAGATATATGTAGATCTATATGACAAGATAGCATAATAATTGTAAAGATAAACTTGCCTTTTTAGGTACAAATATACAGTTCAAACTGTCCAAGACAGCCACCCATTGTCAAGGAGAATAGTGGTTGTCATAGACAGGTGGGTTTCTTGGACAGGGTTGTTATTATGATAAAAAAAGGCAAGGTGGAAAGTGGTAGTTTGTACTGGTGGCAGTCAGGGCAGGAACGATTATATCTTCTACTCTTTTTGTCGATTTGACTTTGCTATACTGCATGCCCTTTTTTAGCTTAAATTAGAATATATCCTAAGTCTATTTCAGCCTGCTTACCTCTGGTTTATCTTTCATTACTGTCTTAAATATTCAGCTAGCTTTTTGTGTATAATTAACATTCTTAGTTTTCTTCGCCTCCTCTCTTGCTATGTAGGCCTATAGTTCTGTGGATTTATCTTTTAAATTTTCTTTGACTTTTAAGCAATCTCAAAGGATCTTGTCTACCTGAGCTGTGAGAGATTGGTTGTCTATTGGGAATTCAGTACTCCTTGCATTTCTTTTCAGTGCTACTCCATCCGTTTCTGGGCAAATGTAGCAATAGTGTCATGTAAGTCCACTTTATTCATTCAGATTTGGTGGTGTCACTGCGGTCCAGGGGGTGGGAATGTATAGGACACCATAGGTTAATCTTATTTATCAGTTGCTCTAGAAGACCTAGAAACATACTCGGCTTCCTGGAAGCATACAGTACAAGCAGCTGTTTCTGTCATTCCACCAAGCTTTTCTCTCTGCATTAAATTGCCATATCCTGTCAATTTTCCTCTCTTCACTCTAATTACGCCATCCAGTATGGCAATTATTAATTTGGTTCTTTTCTGTTATCTGCTTCTTTCCATTTCTTCAATTTTTCTTGGTTTAATTCCTTCACTATTCCTTGGTCTAGTTTAAAATCTTGTGTTGACAGAGATTCTTGCCCTCATTTTATTTCTAATCTTTTTTTCTTTCTTCTCTATCAGTCAGAGCTAAACTGTATTTCTCTCTCGGGTGAGAGGATGTTTGGAGGGTGCCACATGAACTTGAAGATACAACTTATCTTCTTTCACTCTGTTGCATCTATCTTTTCCCTTTTCCAAGCTCAATGCAAAATGACTGTTATTATGTCATGTTTCTTTTTATTCGATTAAGTAGGTTCAGTAAGAGTTTTATGGCGCTTGCAACCACATAAGGTCATATGAGCACGCTCTCTATTCAAACAAACTAATTTTATTCACTCTACCATTTTCATCTGCAGAGGTTCACAGCATAAACGAGCAAGGGCCTTTACTGAATCGTCTGATCCACGACATTGCCGTCAAGCTCAAGACTCTGGCAGTCTGTAGCGGTGTCCGGCGGTTACGGTATGGTCATTTCACACTGGACAGAGCCCTAGTGCGGCAACAGTGGCATCTGGAGCAGATAGTGGACAACATTGAGAGCAATGAAGACCTCTTGACGCCAGACAAACTTTTAGTCGGAGCTCGTGCAGAGAAAGTGAAGTTGCTGCCCCCAAGGGGGAAAGGTGTGTTGCTTCCCGGTCCTGGAGATGCCCAGCCTGATAGTTGCGACACAGCTGATGAGAATGTTTCAAACTTCGGTCAAAACTCGGACAGATAGCATTATTTGTTTGTTCTGTTTTGTTTATTTGTTTGGTTTTTGTGGGGGGGTCTTGTTTTGTGATAAAATAGTTTTTATAAATAAAGGTTTTATCAAAGTTTGAAGAAGCTGATGTTTTGCCTTTTTATGGTAGATATATTGTTGCTTTGGACACTTAAAACGACACGAGACCATTGTCGAAGAGGTGCTTGAAGAAATGATGTGGGGCTGGAGAGCAAGGGTAAGACAAAGAGTAACCTGGATTGACTACATAAATTTATTTTTTTTCTTAAATAATAAAGGGTTTTACGGCGCTCGCAAAACTGCATAACGCTGGTGGAGTGAAGAAACCTTGTAACCCCAGAAAGGAAAATTTTACAGGAGAGACAAAAAACTGATTTACTCGTGAACAAAATGACCTATATGAACCAAAGTTGGTACAGATAAATGAAAACACATCAGAAATGTGGTTAGTGTAAAAAGATCACTTTTCTACTGTTTAAATGGTTACGCCGTGGGATGCGAGGTTTCATTACAACATTTTTGTCGTGATGAAACCACGTAGTCAGCCGGCGGGAGGGTTACGAGGTTTCATCAGGACAGAGTTTGAGGGTTGCGAGTTTTCTCACAGCTCATTTGGTTGCAGTATGCGTTTGTTGTTTGGAACGCCACAAAGTGATAAAGATGTTTTTTCAAGACACAATTAAGTCATATAAGTGCAGAAGATTAGGTGTTGCAAGAAGAGAGTAACAAACATAAAAAAAGGAGGAGAGATAATGACGACAGAGATGTTTCATCTGAAAGAAGAAGCAAACCACATTAGAGCATCCACCAACCACCCGTTGCCACCTTATGTCAGAGCTATTTCTTTCAAGACAAGAAGAAAAAGAAAGTATAAGGTACTGGTAGCTAAAAAGTCAATTCCTCTCATGATGAAGATGAAGCCAGACAACTTACATAGTCGTGGCACTGTTATAAAAGTCATAAAGCAGGAGAGAGTAAGACATAGAAAACTGCACATGGCCAGATGGAGAGCAAGCGGAGTAAACACTGTCTACTTCTAATGCTTTTTAAAACGTTTTGGTAAGAGTTTTACGGCACTTGCAAAACAATAAGGTCATATAAGTGCAGAAGATTAGGTGTTACAAGAGAAACCAACAAAAATGAAGGAGGAGAGATCAGGACATTAGACGTTTAATAGGAAAGATTAAGAAGGAGCAAACTACACCAGAGCACCCGCCTACCACCCACCTTCTAAATCTAATGCTAATCTTGAGTCCAAACATTTAATATTTCATAACAGTAACAGACTTGGAACACCAATTGAACTTGCCATAATTTTTATTGAATAAATAACATAGTCGATGCAATATATGAAAATAATGTCTAACAATATAAATAACAGTGCATGATTGTATCACACACACAAATGTATGCAAATCTAATAGAATGTAACGAATACATAATCTGTTATAAATAAATAGATTGGTACCATGGTGCACATAAATAAAACAATTTACTTTTTAAAATATCTCAATAAATACGAATTCATTCTTTTATAATATCTTATAGGGTTTTGTCAAAATGTGAACAACTCCAGTCCATGACTACAATGATTTTGTTTTCCATTAGGTGTGTGGGGGAGGGGGGGGGGGGGGTTAGGGGCGCAGATTCGATCACTTTCAAAGTCCTTTATTTAGATACATGATGTATGATGATGCAAGTTCACATTTGCAATACTTCTGTCACAAAGATGTCAAGAAAGCACAATTTCCGATGCTAAAATGAATTGTGGAGCCCCAGTAAGATTAAAATGTGACCTAATGAGACATCAAGGCACAAAATAATCCCAAAAGAATCCATAAATCAAATACTCCAAGCCCATATCCCCCCTCCCCCAAAAGTGTTATGAATAATAAATGCTTTGCAAGCTTTACAGATGGCAGTCAAAGGTAGAATCAATAGAGCAATTATTGTGTCTGCATTGAGTATGCATCATTCTTCAGGGGAAAGAAACAGAACATTTTCTTACAATTCTCAGAGATTCATTGAGAAGTAGAAATAGAGAATTGTTTCAATGAAGTCATTTGTCAACAAAAAAAATCATTGACATACACAAGCAGCCTGCATCATGTCAATGTCATGAAACACGCCTTCCAAGTTTCAAGTCATGAAACTCTACAGAGAAGAACACTGGAATACTTAATAAAGACGTCTGCATCACAAGCTTCCCTGGACAAACAGTCTCCAGTTTTCCCCCCGAGACACACGTGAACAAAGTTACAAATCCTTCATTTCAGCAAGTTTATTCTGTCCGGAGATCCTCGGAGTCCACTTGTGGTGATAACTTCATCAGCTTGCTCCACATCCCCACTGCTCACGCTGCTGTTGGGCTGGCTGCTGGTCAAAGCCGAGTCCATTGAACGACGAGAGCGAGCCAGAAGGCCTTTCCACCAGTCCCCGTAAGACATGGCCTGCCAGATAAGGGTTTAAGTTTAAGAACATTCAAAATGGTCTAAGATGGCTACACATTGTCAAGAAAAAAAGTTGTATTCAACATGTGGATGTCTTCCACAGTGCCATTATAATATCAAAAAACAAAAGGAGGCGTGGGGGTAGGAAATGGTCGTGGACAGGTGGACGTTAGAGCAGGTTTTACAGTATTTCATTGGCTCATCACTGTCCTGTTTTATGTTTGGTTCCTCACTGATTCATCATCACAGTTTCAATTTAGTTTCTCTTTTCTCTGAACCCCAATTCTTTTGACTTCATAAAACTGTTTCACAATATTTTTCTTACCCACCTAACCAATTAAATTGCTATTAATTGATGGGATAGGGTCTGCCCAAATGGAGAGATTTTGTGTTTTGTGTCCCAAATATATTCAGTTAATTCAGACAGATAGAGACAGTTATACAGCTTCATTATCACAGAATTCTCCCCCCTTTTTTAAAGACAGGACTAAAATACAAGCATCAAGTTACAGGTCTTGAAAAAAATGGCAAACTCTACACCATGTGCTGAGTCAGTGTCTGAGATATATGGGGAACATTCAAATATAATCTTTCGCCTTGAAAGGGGGCCGGGTGGGTCTTTGACTCCTGTAAGAAAAGTGTAAGACGGGGGAGGTGTCTTGAACCAATGAAGATTTTAATGTTATATTAGTACATGTATCTGGCCATTGCGAAAAAACAGGTCACTTACTAATTCCTAGAGTTTTTTCCATTAGACGAAAAACTATCAAAATAGGATCATATATTTTGATTTAATGACTAATTTAGTGACTAAATTGGCTCTTTTAGGTTTCGTACCAAAAGAGGACTCTGGCATAGCAGGAAAACCTCTTCCAGAGATTAAAAGTAAATGAGTCTGAAATTGACGATATCTAATTAGGAACAGTTCACAAATGATGTCAGTTAAAATTTGGCAAAAAATTACCCTACCCATTCCCTCTTCATCTTTCACAGGAATCCCCTCCCCAGTTGACGTCAACCAAATGTGCATGTACATTTAGACAGAACATGTACAGGGTGCATTTAACAGGCCGAGAAAATGTGGCCTATAATATTTTTTCTTCCTTTCTTTTTCCCCCCCCAACCTTTTAGAGTGAGCTTCATGGTTGACATCAACTTTGTAAGGACCCCCCTCCCCCCTGTCAACTATTGTCAACTTATACACTCACACCTCTGAGCTGATGTCATTTGTGAACGGTCTCTTATCTTCACCCAATACAAGAAGCTAGAAGCCTGACCTCCTGATCTATTTCCTCCTGGAAGCCCGGGTTGCTGAAGGAGATCTCCGGGACTAGCTCAGACTTATCGTTCTCCTTGCCTTTGCCCGTCTTCTGGTGCAGGTACTTGATGGTGCTGATGAAGCTTGCGTTATTTCTGGAGTTTCACAGAGATGACAATTTTAGTTCATTTTCTGTAAGCGCTTTACAGCACTTGCAACACAATAAAGTCATATTATAATTATAAGATTAGAGATGTTACAGGACAGTAACAAACACAAAAAGGAGGAGGAGAGATAAGGATGATAGAAGTTTGATAGGGAAAAAAAGAGCAAATCACGCTAGAGCATCCACCAACCATCCATTGACAATTTTAATTTGGTTCTCAGAATAATTCATTTATTACTCTTTTTAGTTTGTTCAATTTGAGTAAAAAGAAACCTATTGACATATTAGCTGCTATTTAGTGCAGGGAAAAAGAATACAGACAGATACAGCTGGAAACAAAAGATAAACTTACCACTAGTGCCCTCCAACCACCCACTCTGATTTACAGAGAAGCAAATCATCAGCATAGTAATTACTATTGTAGTGATTGGAGAAGAAACAACAAAATAAGTTGCAGGCTTTCTAACTTTTCTAAAAACTCCATCAGAAACACCCTACATATGTATCTATTTCCAGCGGGCTATATCTGAGAAGTAACTCATTTTGTCAACACACCTCACATTTTGAGATTTCTTAATGACTTGAGAAACAAAGTTACAAATGCAAGACAAGAGAAACTTACCTTTTGTATCTGAAGTAGCAGGCGAGTAAGGTTACCACTACAACCAGCACAACAAGTCCAAAGACTAGACCAATAATCCACAAATGGGAACTTTCATCTTCATTCTCTTTCTTCTCCTCTACTCTATGCTGGCAAATGTTCCCTCTGAACCCAGGTGGGCAGCTGAGAGTGGGAAAATGACATACAATATCAGAAAGGGGACCTCCAAATGAAGAATATAACTTAAAGAAATCATTTTTAGAAAAGACTCATTTCTCTTTTTAAAAAACAGTAGATATTTTGTATTGCTACCAACAGACACATCCAAGTTTTAAAAAAAACTATTGTTGAAATTTGTTGTTATTTTTTAATTAAAATAGAAATACTCAAAATCAATAACCACAAACGAAGTGTCAGTTAGGAATCTTTAAGTTTTCAACCTGCATGTATTAGGATAGTTATGTTTCAATCACAAATGCTTGTTAAATCTGACATGAAATTGAGTGATAGTTCTGCCTTGTGTGACGTATAGAGCCTTCTTGGGATTAGGCAATATGTAAATTTCCATTTACATTGTCTTGTTTTAAAAAGCAAAGACATACCTGCATAGAGATGTTCCAGTCACACGGATGCAAGTCCCACCATTGAGACACTGTAGCAAGCAGCTTGTAGAAGGCGTGAATTTTAACACAGTTGATGGGACCTGGGCCTTATCCATGGTTACATTGTTTACTCTTGGCCCTTCAGTAAGTGTCACCAAAAAAAAATTACATTACACAGATATCCGGGTTTTTTTAGTAAGAGTTTTACGGCACTTGCATCACAATAAGGTCATATAAATGCTGAAGATTAGAGGTGTTACAAGAGAGTAACAAACATAAAAAGAAGAAGGGGAGATAAGGACAACAGAATATGTTTCATAGGAAAGAAGAAGCAAACCACACCAGAGCACCTGCCAACCACCCACACAGATATCCTGTGATTGTAGTTACAAGAGTTTTGCTTGTTTTAGTAAGCGTTTTACAGCACTTGCAACACATTTTTGTGTGCGACAGCAATGAGCCTAACGATTACAATACAGATGCCGGGTTTTTTTATAGATTGAGTAGGTGTTTTACGGCAGTATCGACTTAAACACAGATGCTGGTAGATATTCCGTGACCGTGAAATCTATAAAAGCATTTTACAATGATATTTCAAGGCATTTTAGACAAGAAATTTAAAGATGGATGGAAGAAAAACAGGTAAAGAACACGAGACATCCAACAAAGATGACATATCTACCAAAATTTAAGGCATTCCACTAAGGCAGTACTCAAGAAAGTACAAGTGTCAAATTCAAAGCCCCTAGGCCGCACCTGACACGGCAAACATCTGGCTTGTACGAGAATTTTAGGTAGTCAACCCTGAGAATCTCCACAACACAGCACCTTACTTCAAACATAAACTTGCTGCCAAGAAAAGATGCTAACCATCCATCGCTAACCAACTGGCATAAGAGCAAAAATCGGTAAACCTTGATTTGGTATTTTAACTTTTTTGTTTTAACTCATATTGCTTACAGTAGGTACAGTTTTCCACTACTCAAAGAGTGTTTATTCAGTTTGGCCCACAACGTTAAGTGTAATTTCACCATACTATCATCTGCTGTGCCATACATAACTTCTGAGGCTTACCAAACCTTACATTGGGCATTTTAGAAAGCCAGGGATAAGTACAATTTATCATGGGGAAAGCAATCATAATTCAAATCTCCATCTTCAGCTTCAATAGATTGACGACTGTAAAGCTTTTTTATTTCTAGATAACCATCTTCTCCTGACCTAAAAAAGAAAAAAAAAGTACCATACTAACCTCTCGTTTCCGTTCCCTCCCTCCCTATTCACCTACTTGTATACACCTCACATCTATTGCGTTCACACCGCCCCCTCTCCTTTTACAAATCTTCCATATATCCATTTACAACCCCCCTTCCCCCCCCCCCCTTTCCTTTCCTCCCCATCCATCTATAATAAACCTCCCTTCCTCCTAATCTGTTTAAAACTCGCCCTCTCCTTCCTTCCTTTCTACGTCAAATCATCTATAAAAGAACCCTCTCTATTTCAGGCCTTCTTTCTCTCTGTGACTTACCTTCACAGTTTGGATTTCCGTCTGTGGCATAGCCCTCTGGACACAAGCACTGTCCCTGCCCCGGGGTCATCACACACAGGTACATGCACGACTTGTTGGCACAAAGATTACCTTTAGAACCTAAAACAACATAAAGGGACATCACTGTATCTATAGTATAGTATAGTATAAGGTTTTACGGCGCTCGCAACTGCTAAGGTCATATGAGCGCGCGAAACACAAGTTGTTCACCTCTGCGAAAGTTCACTTCACGACTGGTAACTAATTTACTTTAAAATGCTAAAAAGTTAAAATATTCAAATTCGGTGTAAATACATTTGTGATCTAAAACAACTTTTAAGTAACAATAAAAATTTTAAATAATATCAAATTCACTCTACAACTCGCCATAAAGGCCAATGGCCTTTATAAAATTTAAAATTCTGCTGGGAACAACGACGGAGAAAATATCCTGCAATTTCTTGCATTTATAATATTTCTTTCGGATCTCTCCAAAGTCTAGACATTCTGTTAAAATGTGTCTAATGGTAAAATCTGTGTCGCATCCGACACAGAACGGCTTCTCCTCTCCCTGTAGGAGGTATTTGTGGGTCAGGGCCGTGTGTCCGATGCGCAATCGAGTAAAAATGACTTCGTCTCTTCTGGAGAGATCCGAAGGATTTCGCTGTTCTAGTCTGGGTTTAATTTCATATAATTTATTATTTTTCTGGTTTTCCCAGTGGCTCTCCCACAGACCATCACTGTATCTAACAGTCTCTCAGTAATTTTGTTTTAGTAAGAGGTTTACTGCACTTGCAACACAATTAGGTCATATATAATAAGTGCTGAAGATTAGGTGCTACAAGAGAACACAAAAAAGGAGTATGAGAGATAAGGACTTATAGATGGATAGAAAAGAAGGAGCAAACCACACACCAACTGTCCACTATCTTACAGTTTACAGCAAGTCAAAACAATACCGTTCAAACATTGCCTGGATAACACAACAACAATAGCAGTACTTTTTAATTAATGCTTTTGATTGGGTTGATTGATTTGATTGGGTTGATTGATTTGATTGAGTAGATGTTTTACGGCACTATCGACACAATTTTGGTCATTTTGGTTTAATTAATGGAAGAAGCCAACAACACAAAAATAGAAAGACGTGACGGCTTCAAATTTCCAGACAAGTGTTTTCAATTTTGAAAGGAAAATGAAAAGAATTGTACAATGTGAAACACAAAATAACTTAGAATTATAGCCTTACTAAAACTATACTCTTACTTGACTGAATAAAAAGAAGCACATCCAAGACAAAACAGGTAAAGAATCAGTGTATAAGGAAAAAGAGAGAAAGAAATGTAGGACCAAACAGTGGTGTCCTCCAACCACGCACTTAAGGGTAAATTCTTATAGAAGAGATTGTGTTGAATGGTTGAACTCTTAATAACGATTTAATTTATTGAAGAGGATTGACCGTCAAATTTGGCAAGGGTTTGACAGTGCAAAGGACATGGACAAATACATGTATTTCTTTTCTTCTATGAATCATAATGTAATTTTTTCTTCCCAAGAGCTCCCATAAGGTGGGTGAGTGTAATGACCAACAAGTTGGCATGAAAACAATCACACTTGGCTAGGAAACGATTCATGCCATAGAAACACAGCAGAGTGGAAGATACAACTGAGTATCTCCGTCTGTCTGCTGGAATGCTGCATATAACTCAGATCTGTTTGGCTATACAGGCAGGGTCAAAGTAGACCCTTCAAAAACAATTTTGCATTTTAAAAAACCCAAATGTTATCTAATTGCGTTCAAGTTTTGAGTTTGACTATGTTTCACAACACTATCTACATAATATTCATATGTTTGGTCTACGTTACTTGTCCGTCTCCTCACCCCATGGCTGCTTCAGCATATGGCTGACTTTGATCGGGCCAGGATGGCTCAGTTTTAAGAGCGTTTTTCGTTTCAGTTGAGGGTTGTAGGTGGCCACTGTCTTCACGTGGTTGCTCCCTTGGTCCGTGAGGTAAGCAAGTCCTTCAAAGACATCCATGGCAAATATCTTACTGGATAAGGAGTGAACGGCAATAAATCTGTAAGAAGAAAAGACCCTTTTGAGTCACCTGAGGAATCCCTTCATTGTACAGATGTTTCTGCAAGATTTCAGGTTGTTCAGCAAACTTTCATATCTCAAAAATAAATTTGTATACCAATTGAATAATCAGTAAATAAAAAAGAGCAGGGTGGAAGAGAGGAAGAGGGACACCTTCAGATTCACCCAATGCACAGTGGAAACCACGGGTGGCCTATCTGCCCCCAACCAAATTGTTGTCCAACTTCAGATGTGATGTACTACACCCAGAATTTTGAAACTTTTTTTCCAGTTTATCTGTGGTATTGGTTGCACACTCAAAAAGTACTTTGTCAAAATTCAGATTTAAAATGTTTTAATAAGGCAAGAAAAGATACATAATGAAGGTACAGTTTCTAAAAGAATGAAACAGTTTCTCTCTTCTCATCTGTAAAATAATGCTTTCTGGACAAAGATACTTTGAATAGCTTGCTGACAATATGCTTTTACATGAGTCACTGGACAAGCCTTTTTGGCATGAACAACTCATCTCCCTTAAAGCTATTGAAACAAGTAAACATCACAACACATACCTATCTGAGCCATCAATTTTACTTGTCTCAATTTCTCCGCTGTATCCATTGAGCCAGTAGAGGCGCTCCATTGCATGATCGATACAGAGAGAAAGTGGCCATTGTCCTATGGAGGACACAATGGTGCCTCTGTACATGCCTGACATCCAAGATCCTTCCACGCGATTGCCGGTGGGATGAGTGGCAAGCCAAAACATTAAACCCCTGACGAAATGTGGAAAGTGAAACATCTGTTCTAAACACAAGTAATTGTTTAGGAATATAATGCTTTATAGCACTATCAACAATTGAAATGTATGAAGGTTTCTGTGACTCAAGAGAGAAAAAAGTATGTTTCCATAAAACATCTGAAGATTCTTGCATTGACATTTGGTTTTTAAAACATGACATCCCGCTTTCCAGTAGTGAAACAAGAGACATCAGAGGCATAATAAGTATTTAAACACATTTTTACTAGCTTACAATAAAATAGGGGTACAGTTTTTTTCCAGGTAAAAACACTTTATCCAGACTACCTACTATATTTCATAGTAACAGCAAAGGAAACCTGCAGTAAGGTCCAAGCAAAGAGTACTTAGAGTAAATATCCTTGAATTATCGCTTTAGAAAAAGATAATCCGGGTTTGAGCGGATTTTAATGAAAAGGTTAAGAATAAAATAAAGACAAGAGATTGCTCAAGGAATTCAGAGCCAATATTGTCAATCAATATCCGTTTGTTTTTTTTGTTTGAGTAGGTATTATACGGCACTATCGACTCAGTTTTGGTCATAAGTATTTAAAACTAGACAATTATAGAAGAGGAAAACAGTTTCTACTGGACCTTCTACTGTAAATTTTCTACTTCTGCTGTGGCTATCCTCAAATCACCCCTATAAATCGTTACCTCAGAAGGGCAAAGTTCTATCTGCTCAGTTCCTAGTTGTGAGAAATTTAATGTCAAAAGACTTTGAACTTCACATCATGTCAAGCTTTTTCAAATGCACTTCTCTGAGTATCTTGATAATGACTCTGAATGATCTTACTTACGCATTTGATAGACCAGACAGAACATATTAGTTTCTGTCCTCATGGTCTTAGTAACTCAAAACAGCCAAAACAGCAGGAAAGATTGGGTCCTACCGCCCCATCAGTCTCACCAGCTGCCTTGCTAAGCTGATGGAGACCCTCGTCAAGAACCGCCTGATGTTCTTTCTGGAGAGTAACAACTTGCTGAGCAACAACCAATCGGGCTTCCGCAAGTTACGGTCTACTGAAGACCAAGTCCTGTGCCTAACACAACATATCTCCGATGGATTCCAGGCTCGTCCCAAAATGAAACGAACTGTGCTGGCCCTCGTGGACTTCTCGCGTGCCTTTGACAAGGTATGGCGCACGAGGTTAATGGAGAAGATGATTGAGAAATCTACTCCCAGCCGCATCACCCAATGGATAGGTTCGTTCCTCAGAGACAGATACGCTTGCGTCGAGCACGGCAACGCAACAAGCAGGCTTCGCCGTTTCGAGCAGGGAGTCCCCCAGGGCAGTGTCCTGTCCCCCACACTGTTCCTTGTCTTCATCGATGATATTGAAGCAGGCCTGCCTGAAACCGTGAAGACGGGACTCTATGCTGATGACTATACAATATACGCCACCAACGAAGACATAAATCAGGCTGAAAACAGTGTCCAAGCAGCCATAAACATACTTGAGCAGTGGGCAAAACAAAACAAGATGGAGATCAGTACGGAGAAAACAGAGTGCACCCTCTTCACCACCAGCACCCACGAGGCCAAGCGAAAACCAACACTCTCACTCAAAGGCGCCCCCATCACCTTCAACTCCAACCCCACCTTACTTGGGGTTACACTTGATCGTACTCTATCCTCCAACGCCCACATCCAAAACCTTGAGTTAAAACTGTCCAGCAGACTTCGACCATTGAAAGCCCTTACAGGCACCACCTGGGGTGCCTCCAGGGAATGCATAAAGCCTATATATTATGCTACTTGTCGGTCAGCTATCGACTATTGTGCCCCTGCCTACATGCCTCTTGCCAAACCCTCCAATCTGCAGAAACTGGAAAGAAAGCAGAATGAAGCAGCAAGAATCATCACAGGCTGCTCAAGGGATACTCGTGTGGACAGCCTCCTCATCGAAGCAGACATTTTACCACTAAGGCATAGAGCTGATGCCTTGACTGCCATCTCATTCGAGAAGTCCATGCGTCTGCCTACAACGAACCAACGCAAAGCCTCCGCAACAAAATCAGTGCCCACGCGGACAGGCAAGTCGAACTGGAGAAAGCATGCCCAGAACCTCGTAGCCGAAACTGAACTGGATACGTACCCACGTGAGGAGCTGGTTGTTTTACCCCCCACACAACCGTGGAAGGCTGCATCATACAACGTGACTTTTAGCACCGATCTTGTCGCCGACTGCAAACGTGCTAATGAACCAGCTGTCAGGAAAGCAGCAGCAGAGGCTACAATTCGTTCGCTCCCCCTGCCCGATGTAGAAGTCTGGACTGACGGTTCAGCTGAGCACGGTACTGAGTATGGAGGAAGTGGAATACTGATCAAGACCGGCGATACCGAACTCGACCAACGTGTACCTGCGGGCCGGTATTGTTCCAGCTACAGGGCCGAGCTTGTAGCTCTCGACACAGCGCTTGACATGCTTGTGGCACTACATACAGCAGGCAACCTTCCGAACAGTGCACGCATCCATGTATACACTGATTCTAGATCAGCAGTCATGCGCCTCTCATACGGCCCTACCAACCAATCGGAAAAGGTGGCCTGCTCAATCTGGCAACATCTGCACACCCTCTGTCAACGCTCTGAATGTTCCATCCACTTACAGTGGATTCCAGGCCACGCCGGACTGGCTGGGAACGAGGAAGTTGACAGCATCGCCAAAGAAGCAACAGCGCTTACCCAGATTGACACGCCAATCGATTTCTCGACAGCTAAAGCCGTCATCCACCGATCGACCCGCGCAAAGTGGAAAAGAGAGGCGAAACCCAAACTGCCGTTTGCCCAGCCGCCGTCATTCCAGCTTGAGGCCTCGCTCAGACGACAGGACCGCCGGCTTCTCTCCCAAATGAGAACTGGTGGAAAATCGCCCAAGCTGAGATCATATCTCCACAAAATTGCGCCAGCAGACAACCCAGATCCGTCCTGTCGAGCCTGCAAGGAGGAGGACGAAACTATGGACCATGTGTTCCTGAGGTGTCCCGCCAGCTATCGTGCTAGAACCCGTCTGCTGGGACATTTCAGTAACCCACTTTCAGCACTTTTTAAGGACCCCCGGGCGAGTGTTGAGTTCCTGCGTGCTGTCGGCATCGCTGACCGCTTATGAAGCCACAGCGCCAGAAGAGAGAGAGAGAGAGAGCCAAAATTGTGAGACAGGACCTTGTAATTCTGAGGTAACGAAATGTAAACTTGGATAGGGACTATTACTCTTGACAGGACAGTGGTAGAAGTGAAATGCTGTACTTATATCAAAGGTTCCACGAAATCAAGATACAAATATTCAATATAAAACAAGTTAAAAACTTCAGGACAGGAGAGTTGTTATGAAAAAGGAATAAATACCAGAACTATCCGATTTACCAAATACAAGATAAAAGGTGTGCATAATCCACTGTACTAGATAAATATTGGGACTTTGTGCCATTTTCCTCTCTCAACGTTATCCTATTAGAATATGGGAAGACAATATCAGTCAGAATATACAGTTCTCAACACTAGAGACACTGTGAAAACTTCATCCTGCATGCTCATATATTATTACCTTAATTGTGAGAGCTGGAAAACAAAATTCTTAAACAATACACCAATCACATCATCAAAATACTTTTTATCTTACTTGGCTGGGTGAAGAGCAATAGATCCAAGCTCGTAGTGACCTCCACTTATCAGTGTAGAACGGTAACCACGACCATCAAACACTGAGATTGTGTATAGACCGGATACTTCCTGTAACAAAGTTTTGAGTTAAGCCGATTGATTGATAGAGTAGGTGTTTCACAGTTCTGCTGACTGATTTTATTTTACTGAAAATAAGTGAACTGATATGAAATACAACTTTCGGAAAATGATTATTTAACTATGCACGGACAGAAAAGTAATACTAACAAGCGGGCATTCTTTAACCACCTACAGTCTTGTCTGTAATTGCAAAAAATAATTAATATTCAGTGTTTTACACTCCCATTTTATTAAAAAATTGTGATCTTTTAAAAGGCAGGCTTCTTTGATCCTGCCTGTTAGAGCCAACTCAGGCCGAGAGGGACACAGCACCCTAGCAAACCAACAGAGAAATTCTATAAAAATAACTTGGTCACTTGAGAATTGAACAAACTATTTCTTCCGCCAACAACAGTGAAGAGCCTGACCATCACACCCTGAACGGTTTCGCATCTATAATCCATAATATGAGCTAACCTGTGAAATGAATATATTGCCAGTCATCCAATTAATAGCCAGTCCTCTGACGTTACCAAGCTCAGCAGTGATCAGATGAGGGTCAGAACCTACAGATGCAGAGTACATAGCCATCCCGGAAGACTGATTGCTCTGAGAAAAAAATATGTACAGCATTTAATTTTAGAATATAATTTTTTTTTAAATAAGTAAAAACCTGGCCACAACTGATTTTTTTAAAAAGAACTCTGCGGTTCTTTTTGGATCATTTAAACATCAATTGGACTAATATAAAAAAACCCAGACTAAATCTTCCCTAATCAAAAAGATGGACAAACACTTTGTAAAAATTTGTAGTTTAATGTTAAATAACCACTGCCATAACTCATCCTCATTCTTTTAGGATTTATGTTTTGATCAGCTTAAAACTCCTCAAATAAATTATGCAACCATCTCTCCTAAAGTTACAATAAATGGAGGAGCTATCACCTACTGTCGTTTATATTGCTTTTCCCTGTATGTCTTCGAGTTCTACAAACATTTAATGTTGAAGTACCCAATAAGCATGACACATTACATGGGGATATCACAGAAAAATTGACGAGGCAACAGCGCCTCCCAACCACTATCCAACCATTACCAAACTTGAGGCATTTACAGTGAGTTTCGTTTCAGTAGAGGTTTTATTGCGCTCACAACTGCATAAGGTCATACGAGCGCCAGAAGATTAGAGGTGTTACAAAAGAATAACAAATATAAAAAAGAAGAAGGGGGAGATAAGGACGATAGATGTTTGATAGGAAAGAAGGAGCAAACCACTCCAGAGCACCCGCCAACCACCCGCATTTACAGCGAGCCCGCATAAAAACTCGAACAGTTTGCCAGGAACAGATAAGTATGATAATATTATGTAAAAGTAGAGCGGCACATGCCACACAAATAGGTTATAACAGGGCAACATATTAAGAGGTGTTACTTGAGAGAAACATGCAAAGAAAAGGAGGAATAACGACGACAGATGATTGATAGGGAAGAAAGAGCAAACCACACCAGAGCACCTGCCAACAAATCCACAATAATTCAGTAACACATAGCCAAAATTATAGTCAAAGACAAAAGATTCTGCACCTGATACTGCACCCACACAGTGTCCCTCTTGTGCAAATTAAGGTCCATATGAATAGTCATGGTTTCCAAGGGAAAAGCCAATGTCTCCCCTTTGCCTCCTGCCAAAACCCTCTTGATACCAGAGAAAGTGCCAACATAGAGGTTAGGGCGAGAGCCTGAGAAACAAAAGAGAAACCTTTTCATTTTTTCCTTTCAACACAAATCGGAGTTCATCATACATTTAAATTAATTAAAATTGTTTTTCAGTTGGAAAATGATTTATAGGAGTAGTATAATGCTGAAAAAAACTCAGTGTTTTTAATGTCAAAATATAAAAGCTTTAAAAAGTATCTTTTGGGAGAAATCATAACTTTTCTTAAAATCTAAAATTTTATCAACAAGTATTTCTGTTTGTCTTCTGGGGCGCTGAATTCCTTTCAGCTCCCCCCCCCCTCTTTTTCCTTTAGGAAATGTACCTGCTTTAAGGATTGTTTCTTGCTTTTTTCAACATTTAGAATCTGAATTTCAACCAAAATTTTCCAGCACATGCAACTGATACCACAGATTATGAAACAGCAAGAAATATTTTCAAAATTTTGGGCTTAATAAATCTGAACAGCTGGCCAATGATAATTATATTACAAAAACAAATGTGAGGCAGCATGGTGGAATCAGGCTCTCGTCAAAATAATCGAAGTGAAGAAACTTGCATTTTTCTGCAGGTTTGTGAGTTTTTGTTTTTCGGCTCAACACATTTCATGCCCATTAAAGAAATCATTTCTGTGTGGATTTTTCTGAAAAACGTTGATTTAAGGCACAAAAAATGTAAATTTTTAGTTACCACGGACTCTAAAGCTAAGGAAATAACTAATCTTTGGCGGCCAATTTCTCACTAATTTTACCTCTGAAAACAGGTGACCCCCATTTCACTCATTCGCAAATATCTCGACTTGTATTCAAGATAAATGGAAATTTTTTTCATACAAATAAAGACAAGTAAGCAAGCTTTAAGATGATACCAATAACTCTACATCCCCAAAAATTGATGAGGGCCTGATTCCACCACACTGCCTCACATTTAGAATCTGAATTTCAACAAAAGTTTTCCAGCACATGCAACTGATACCACAGATTATGAAACAGCAAGAAATATTTTCAAAATTTTGGGCTTAATACATCTGAACAGCTGGCCAAGGATAATTATATTACAAAAACAAAATATACTATAACTCTACTTACCAGAAGCTTTACATACACCATCGTTTCCTTTGATATACCCTTTGAGGCAGGTACACATGTGGTCCCCTTTTTGGTTAACACACATCTGGTTGCAGCCTCCGTTCATGATTTCACATTCATTCACATCTGGAAAATTAACCACAACGAACAATTGAGTAAGTGTTTTACGCCACTACCAACTCGTTTTTGTCAACAACATATATTTACTGTTATAGCGGCCATTCAGAGAGGTTAAAAACATAGCCCACATGATTTCTCTGGTTCGGCATTAGCAATATTGTTTCATTTCATTATCGCTGGATGCTTGAAAAAGGTGTAATAAATTATGAGAGTTCACTATGAAGCTCAATGTCAGATTTGGACTCTTAACCGTGACAAAAAGTCATTTGCAGAGGGTCAGTGTAAAAACAAATAAAGTTTGTCCTGCACAGATGAGAATCATCATACCATCACCTAAAAAAATTGAAACAACCACCCATCAACCACTCACAAAAACATTGGCTGAGGCTACATTATTGTTCAGTTGGATTCTTTGTTTTTGTAAAGGATTTTACGGCGCTCGCAACTGCATAAGGTCATATGAGCACGCGGGACACATCTAATATTTTCAGTTGGTAGGAAATTTTGAATTTTGCCCGGGTGGCAGCCGAAGCCTACTCTTATCGATTTTAGACCACCAAGGGATCTTTAACGTGCGCAACTTGCACACGGGCCCTCCGAGATTTTTCGCTCTTGTCCGAGAAGGCTAGGTGTAGATCTTTCCTATCAGAAGATTAGGGGTGTGGCAGAAAGACAGCAGTAAGGAGGAGCCAAAGAGTAGTAGTAGAAAGGCTGCAGAAAGAGTCAGGAGCCCAGAGGAGGGGGCAAAGGAGGTGAGGGGGTGGAGGCAGAAAGTGGAAATGAAAGCAGACAACAGAACATTGCTAGAGAACAGGAAAGGAGGTGAAAGGAGACAATTTTAGAGAAGAAAATTTTTCAGTACCCACCCGGATTCGAACCCGGGACCTTTTGAATGAGAGGCCAACACCTTAACCTCTAGGCCACGAGAGCCCCCCATTTGGATTCTGCCGTAATTTTTTTTAATGGAGTAAAGAGAAGCACACCGGCAGTATAATGACTCAATGCAAGAAAAAGCACAACAGGAACAAAAAAGGAAAGAACAGAAGTAGGACCTACCAGTGCCACCCTCCAACTACCCATTCTAACAGTTAAGCATAATAAAAACAGGAAAAAAAAGTAGAAAGGGCAGATCAGCTTGCCAAAACACGCACATAACAGGAGAAGAACGTAATATCATAATAAAGATTACTTGTGTGTGTGTGTGTATGGGGGGGGGTTGTTGGTGTTGGATTGTCAAAATTGTCCAAAAGAGCCACCCATTATTGAGGAAAAATGAGGGTGTCTTATACAAGGGGACGTCTTGGACAGAGTCATCCTAATATAGAAAAATGGTTGGGGGGGGAGCGCTCATTTGTACAGGTGACTGTCTCGGACACGTTGCCGTTAAGAGCGGGTTCAACTGTATATGATTTACCGCACCATCGACACAGTTTAAGATAAACCAACAGTAGCCGCTCCACTGACCATCACACATGAGAGTATCCACAAGGCGGAATCCCTTGACACAAGAGCATGTTGGCCCGTCCTTGGTATCACGACACATCTGACTGCAGGCGTAGTCTTTACATGTTGCTGGGAACCACAGGTTTGTGAGAAGACATGGCAGACGTTATTCACTTTTGTGAAAAGAAAGATTGCAGAGATTATTCACTTTCGTCAGAAGAGAGATTACAAGAGATTATGTGAGAAGAGAGATTATGTGAAAAGAGATTACTGAGATTATTATTAACTTTGTGAGAACAGATGTTTTATAAGAGATTATTCACTTTTGTGAACAGAGAAATAACAGATTATTCACAACAGAAAATTTGTTGCATGACCTGCATAAAGATGGTGAGAAGAGTCAAAACTACGAGGATCATCCCTTTTTCAAAGGCTGAGCAGTTCGTTCCAAAGGTTGAGCTTGGAGCTCAGTGGTCAGAATAAGGCAGAGAGATAAAGGAAGAAATTTAGAGTCTTAAGTATGGTTGAAATTGTCCAAGATGGCTATCCATTGTCGAGGAGAAAAGCCGTTATCTTAGACAAGTGAACATTTACGACAGTGTCATGATAAAGACAGACCTGCCACCTGTGAAATAGGGTGTGTGTGTGTGTGTCATGGGCATGTGTTTTATCATTATTCTTAATATCCTGAAGTATCACGTTAAGTACTTCTAGTCCAAGTTTCACCAACCATTCAGCTATTGCATAGAGTATTTATTTCAGGGCAATGGCTCCGTTTGTTGTATATGAGATAGGTTTAATGTTCCTAGTCAAGTTGGTGACTAGGGTTGCCAGCGGTAATGAGCACATACTATGGGCCTGACGACAGAAGTCATCGATGGTACTAAAAGTGATATAGGTTTATTATTCTATAATACGAGGAAAAAAGAAGAGGGAAAGAGGGAAGAAGGCGGAAGTTGAGTCCAAAGTAAATGTCAAAAGTACATTTGATTATAGATTTATTATTCCATTAACTATCAATGCAGCATTTGTCACTTCTGTGCTGTTTCTCTATTCGTCGCCATGACAACATGTTTTAAAAAAGGAGATGAAATCAGTGTCCACAAACCATCATCACTCAAGTATGAACATATATGTCAATATCTATCACTCGTATTTAAAAAAAATTACAACACACACATATAACATAAATACATATATATAACAAAATATACATGGTATGTATGTCATTTAAAACTATTCTCGTCTTACATACACTTTCAATGAGAACTATTCACTACATAAATACAAAGGTCAAGGCAGTAAAGAGCCCTTACTTTTGCAGATGTGCTCGTCAGAGCCGTCGTAACAGTCTACACGGCCGTCACACATGAGGTCTCCATCCACGCATTCACCACTCCCACACTGGAAACCATCAGCACAGTTGTCCACCGGAGCCTCTGTGAGAAAGATACACACACAAAGCAGTCAGTGTTGACTTACTCAGTGTTGACTTAAAATTAAGTTTTGAGCTTGAGTAGAGAGAAGCACATCCAAGCAACAACAGTCACTCAATGCACGGAAAAAGCAAAACAAATAGAAAAAAACCAGAGGGGAAAAAAAAGAAGTAGGACCTACCAGTTGCGTTCTTCAACCACCCGCATTTAGAATAAATAAAGATCACAAACTGAGCGAATTAGCGATACGTCTTGTACATGTATTGTTTTCAGATATAATTTGAACTACACACACACTATATGCTACTTACGTTTCAAACACAGAGCACACTTATCCCAGGAAAGCATTAAAGAGAGGAAATACTTCCAAGAACAAGAGAAACCTTAATTATTTCTGTTCATATACTGTACATTGTTGAAGAGGAGAGCTTAGAACAAAGAGCGGTACGTAAAAAAATAGTATAACCTGTTACAAAATCAGATAAAAACACCACCAAAAACATATACATATGCCAAAAAAAACAAAGAAGAATCCATCCTCATGTCCTTGTCAATTACCACAACACTCGCCCTTGTAATCTCCATTTATAAAGGTAAATCCTACGGGGGGGGGAAAAAAATGTAATTTTGTATGAAACTCCCAAAACCTTAATATTTGATGAGGATTTCATTCACAAAACAAACTCAAATTACTTGTGTGATCAATAACTCTCATAGAATAAACAAGTCTATTTTCCTTACTGAAAAAAATATAAGAAAAGAGTTGTAGTTTGAAGTGCATCAGATCAACAATTGCCACAGCCACATTTTGCCAGAGTGGTACAAAAGAAATGAAGAAAAAGAACAGAAAGAATAGACAAAAAACCACAGATCATCCATCAACCGGCCATACGAGAAGACAAGTAACCTGTAGGTGGAGGTGGACAGGTCAGTGGATCTTCGTCTGACCCGTCAGAACAATCCTCCACCTGGTCACACCGTTTGGCTCCTGGGATGCACTCCCTGTCCGCACACTGGAACTCAGAACTTTCACAGGACACTGAAAATGAAAATGAGTCTGAGTATGAGTATGAGTCACCGGCTCAGATAATGAAATTACGTGTAAAAAAAAAAAAGGTTCCTAAATGTTTGGGAAAACAATGACATGGATAATAAAAATACATTTTTCTACATCCAAAAGTAAAAGTAATACTTCGCAATGGCCCTCAACAAAAATGGCGCTACAGACACAAACAGGTCATCTATGTAGCATAACAAGCACAGGGTTTGTCAAGATTCAGCAGCCAGAAAAAAAAATATTTAACGCCCTTTTCAACACTAACGTCACCATATTTAAGAGGCAAGATCTCAGAATTCACACCATTTCCAATAAGACTTAGCCAAATTGGTGGATAGACTTAATAGGATAGTTACTGGCGCATGTCTGTGGAGACTCATCCTCATGGGCAGGACAGTCGGGGTGGTCGTCACAAACTGCACTTTCACTCAGGCATTCTCCGCCATAGCAAGTGAAGGAACACTCACTTGTCTGCACTGTTGAAATCCCCAAAAGAAGTTTGACAAATAACACACACACACAAAAGATTGAAGCAATTCTTAAGCTATATTTTATGGCACAACTGAAAAAAATTTAACAGAATAAGCACCACAGTTTCCTAAAAATCAACCTTATTACTGGTAATCAATAATAAGTTCTTCAACCTGAAGTGCAACTGGATCTTGTCAGTTTGATAGTGTTTGAGCGCGTGAAATCCGCAGCTTGCACTGTATGCTTCCACGGAAGCCGAGTATGTATCTGAGTGTTCTCAGAGGGTCTGCCGGGGTAATAAAAGTTGTAAAGCACATAGAGCAAGCTCATGAGTATGGATATGCGCTATATAAATGCAATTATTATTATTATTATTATCTCATAAATCATGGTCTATATCGTTACTACAAAGTAATATATCTCACCTTTAAGTAGCCATGTGCTGTTCTCAAATATACTTTTTAAAAAATCATGTTAGCAGGCCAGAATGTTTTTAGTTTTAGGTTGATAATTTGGTTGACAACAGTAAGTGTAAATGCAGCAATGACCAATATGCAGACATATGTAATTAGCTGAGCAGAAAACAACGGAAAGAAATTAACAGTTTCAAGTTCCAGGCTTATTTTCCTTCAATTTAAAGAAAAATACTTTGCCACAGTCTGATAGCTTGTGCAATGAGAAAGAAAAATTTTTTTAAAGTAGGAATAAGTGATAGAAAATAAAAGTCAAGACTTTCAGAGCATCCATTGGCTATCCAAATTAAATTTAATGATCTGTATTACTTTCCCCTCAAAACAATTTAGAATATGTCGACTCTGCCCATCAGGGCCAAGAGGGATACAGTATCCCAAAGAAGGACTAAGATACTTGATAAAAGATACCCTCCACATAGAAATAGAAATCACATGTACTGGGAGAAAAGAAATGAGCTTAATCATTATATAACAGATGCCAGTGAACTAAATCTTTTTTAAAACTTCAAAATCTAAAACAAAATTCAAGTTTGGCACTAACCTTTCTCGGCTTCACAATCCTCCTCATCCTCTCCGTTCTCACAATTGTCAACTCCATCACAAATGTCCGTCTTGAGAATGCAAGAACCATCTCCACATGAAAACTGAGCATCAGAGCATGTGACTTCAGCTGGAATAGTACCCACAAAAAGTTATGGTTACGGGTCACTGGCATGACGAGAAGCACACCAAAATAATACAGTAATGGCCTCTCAGAGCTGAGAGACAGTGAAACAAATGGGAGAGGCATGCTGTAGTAAATTCTTCCAGTAGCACACTCAAACCACCCATTCATTAGTATAGAACATTGCAAATACGTCTCTCGGTCTCTCTCTCCGTGTCTCTCTCCCTCTCTCCGTGTCTCTCTCTATGTCTCTCTCTCTCTCATATATATATATATATATATACATATAATGGGATAGAGCGCCAAATATATGCAATCTATTATTATTAATATTATTTTGTATTATGTATATTATGGTGTTGTGAGACATGCTTACACATGGACATGACATGTGAAAAACTTAATAAAAGGCACAGGATATAAACAAAAATAATTGCATTTACATAGTCCATATCCTTGCTCAGCAGCAAGCCCTATGCACTTTATAACCTATACCATTGCCCTAGCAGAAGCTAGAACACTAAGAAACATTCTCAGCTTGCCCAGAAGCATACAATGCAAGCAGGCACTGAAACACGAATACACCGACAAAATCTTTCACTGTCTATTAATGAGTACCCATTTCCACCTGGGTGAAGTGAGGAGAATTTGAGTAGGCCTAAAGAGCCTTTCCTAAGGACACAACGTCCGGTCTCTGACGGGGTTTGAACACATGACCTTTCAGTTGAAGGCCCACAGCTTACACAAAAGACCACCAATGCCGCAATAAATAAGATAAAACCAAGGTACGATGGTTTCTACCAAATAGTGGACCATCCTCAAGAATACATCGTAATTCTTGGAAGTCAACATTGTCTATTGACTTGATGCTCCATTATTGTTTTTTCTTGTTTTCCCCACTCATCAGAAATAGCTGTTTGCCTTGTGCCACAACTTATCCTCATACATCAAATCTTCAATTTGCCCAGGATGTTTTGATCATACTGAATGACTGTAGCTTAAAACCTATATATTTCATACTGAAGATGTTATTGATTACATATTTCAAACTAAACTTCGATTATAACTTGTAAGAGTTAAAGTCTGTATTCATTAATCTTGACACACTGGAAAAACAAGTTCATAGATTTCTGGAATTCTGTAACTTAAACTAAATGTCATATCTTTCATACAAGTCTCAAAGAAATGCCTTCTTGTTTTGTTATCTTAATATTTTCCAAGTCTTAAGCACTGGCAAAGTACAAAACTCTTACTTGGCAGAGAAACTGAAGACATCTAGGAAACTTGACTTATACTGCTGTCATTTTATAAATACACTATATGCAGGTTTTACAATTTTACAGGAGAGCCAAAAAACTGAATGATGTTACCAAGAAAACACTTGATAAAAGTGTATTCTTAAAAATATTGACTCAAGATTTTTGTTTTCTTGATAACAAAATTCAATTTTTTTACTCTCCTGTAAAATTGTATACTGTTTTTTAAAAGACAGCAGAATAGACTTGTAGCAAAAACAACAGTTCATTGCAGGTTCATCATAAACCTTCATTTATGGATTTGTCAACGGTTTCTTTTCAATTCAGTGACACAAAAGATACTTTAAAGGTCTGACCTGTTTTTACTTAAAACTTTTTGAGACACAGATAATTCTTTTTCACTTTTGAGTTGGTATTTCTCCAGTGACTTACAACAATTCTCTTCATCTTTTCCATCCTTGCAATCCTTATCCTCATCACACCGCCAAGAGTTTGGCAGGCAACGCTTATCACATGAAAACTCATTTTCCGCACAATCCGGAGGTGCACAGTTTTGCTCGTCTGAGCCATCATAACAATCTTCAAAGTGATCGCAGGCATGAAGCTCATGCAAACAGGTGCGGTTGTCACACAAAAATTCGTCAGCTTCACAGGTGACAACTGTGGAGAAAAGAAAAATGTCTTAACCCAAATGGTCAATGAGAAAAAGAAAACCATAAGCAGTTGGGTTTCACTGGCTTCTACTCCTTCAAACTTTTCATAAACTTCATTAACAGAGGATGACTGGATTATTTATTGTCCTGTACTTCATAAGATGGAAATCCTTCATGACTTAATAAAAAGCTAATTTCTTTCAATTTACAACCTTAGCATCCAAATGGGAACACCGTTTCTAAACCTATTAGACATATACTGTTATGTCTCAAATATTCCACCCCTACCAATAACCAAAATTCCTCACTATAGCTGCGTGATCTGAGAAAATTATAACGATGATAAAAACGATAATAGTAATTATAATAAGAATAACAACAATAACAAAAAAAAACAATAATTACAACAATAATAATAACAATACAGGTAATATGAGACTGAACACAAAGCGCATATCTGTCCTGGAAAGTAAGCTCTATGCACTATACAATACATCATCATCACAATAGACACTTTATACTTCCTGGGAAACAATTCAATGTAAGCTGCTGTTTTAGAATGACCCAAAGACAAAACATAATGACAAGACCTTTCATTGTCTTGGTCGAATACCCATTCTCACATGAATGAAGTGAGGAAAATTTACGTAAAGTTTCTTTCCCAAGGACTCAATGTCTGGCCCAGACTGGGATTTAAACCCGTGACCTCATGGCATCAAATCCGGCAAAATAAACCACTAAATTACTGATGTCAGTAAACTACCTTTCCTACAATAAAAACAATCCAACAAAGTCAAAAATCAAACCTTTAACTTATATACCAAGTCCATAACTTTTTCTCTAGACTTAGATGCACCTATAAATAAGCAGAGTTCATTTCAAGTTTGAAACTCTTCCCAGATCAAATTGGTTTCCACAAACCAGTCTTAATTATTCTTTAAGATCTTGACAACAATGTAAATGAAAACCCTTCAAATTGTGTGAGAAATTTCAGATGTCGATTATAAAAGCAAGGAGCTTCAGATGTAAGGGGGACTAATCATTAGCCAACAGATGCAGCACTCATCTCTCGAGGCAAAACATGGATCTATCCAAAATTTGCACAGGCATGATTGATGGATAGGTGGATCCATTTTTAACTGGATATCCACACACTTGATCCCAATGTAGGTAGGATCAGGCATCCAAATCTCAGATAAGAGTGAAAAATTCAAGAGTCCTGTGTGAATGTCTTCAGTTTTATAGAGGCCACACAGAAGATGCCTTTCATAAAGAAAACAGCAGATTACCCGGACAATTCTTTGGATCTTCATCACTTCCATCATCACAATCGCTCTGCCCATCACATAGAAATGATTTGTGCATGCAGTATCGAGGACATGGAAAGCGGTCTTCAGAACATGTCGGGGTAACTGGGGATAAACAAAACTGATTTAGAAGTAGTATTTTTCATGAAAGGCATAGATCGTTTAAGTTTTAGTAAGAGTTTTATGGCACTTGCAACATAAACTGAGCAAATAAGTGCAAAAGATTCGAGGTATTACCAGAGAGTAACATGCATACCGCTACCTCAGAATTACAAAGTTCTATCTGTTCAGCACCTAGTTTTGAGAAATTTGACGTCAAAGATTTTGAATTTCCCATCATGTCAAGCTTTTTCAAATGCCATTCTTTAAATATTTTCATAACGACACCGAATAATCTTAAGACTTAATTGATAGAGCAAATAACATATTTGGTTTCGGACCTCATGGTCTTAGTAAAAATGTCAGAAATTTGTAATTCTGAGGTAGCGATACAAAGAAAAGAAGGAGGAAAGATAAGAACAAAGCAATAAGATGCAGCACATAAAATACTTCATGATATTGAAAGTCTGGGGTATGGCACATTCTGTTTCTTTATCTCCCTGCTGGACAGAAGTGGCATACTTGGTTTTGAGTTTGTTTTTTCAGAGGTGCTATCGACAATTTGTTCATGCAAGCCCAGCACCCTCATTCAGACTTTCAGCTTTTTGTTTTCGTAAAAGTTTTACGGCACTTGCATCCCAATTAGGTAATGTAAGGGCTGAAAAATAAGTGTTACAAGAGAATAACTAACAAAAAAGGATTGATAAAAACTATAGCAGTTTGATAAGAAAGAAGGAGCAAAACCACATCATTTTTGCATCGTTCTTCAGACAGTAGTGCAACTGAACTTTACGTAAAAGCCTTTTCCTACAACCACCATATCCCTAATCCAAAGCTGCCAACTTTTCAAACTGAAAAAACACTACATACACGGCAGGTCAGGATGATGGACATTGGACAAGTTACCCCCTCCACACCCCTCACAAACACTTTTCTGCACTCAATAAATTCAAACTATTTCAAGCAGACCAGCAACAATAATGTCAGAAATGTTAGTAAAGGTCTTTCCAATTGACATACAGGCTTTGTTCTCATTATTTGCAAATCCTGTTTTGAAAGTTCAAATTTTTCTTCAGCATCAGCAAGACTGTGACAAGCAATGCTAAAAAAACAGTAGGTATTTTCGTACACAAAAAGGTACTTACGTACTCAGATCCATAAAGATGTACTAATTAGGCTTTTTACATGGTTGTCAGCTGACAAGTATGGCACCTCGCAAGCTTGCCAGTAAAGCATACTACAAAAGAATATCAGGGAACAAGGCAAGAGGAAGACCAAGGAAGAGGATCAAGGGCGTGAAGGCCACCCCGAAAAAATACAACATCCCAATCAGCCAGGACATCCAGCTTGCCAGAGACAAAAAGCTCTTTCTCCCCTCGACGTCCGAGAAACATAAGAGGAAGGATAAAGTGAGTAAGTAAAGGTTGTCAGCAATACTAATCTACATCGGCAAGCACATTAATTCAGGCCATGACAAGATGAGGCAAAGTCGCAGTCTTACCATGACTAGTACAGTCCCATTCATCACTTCCATCAGGGCAGTCTCGGAGGTAGTTACACGCTTTGTCGGCATCAATACAGGTGACTTGGTCTTTGCAGAGAAAGCCAGTACAGTTCTTCGCTTCTGAAAGTTGAGGTTTTAGACAAAAAGCATTGAGAAATTTAAAAAAGCCCTTTCTGTAATAAGAAAGGCAGTTAGATAACATAATGGCAGAGCAAAGTACATAGAAACAGTAAATAAACAGTTTTTGAAAAGTAGAACCTGCACGCCATACCTTCAAACAACTGCAGTTTTAAGAAGGTAAACTGGCAAAGAAAGGAAAATATTCCTTCAACGCACAATAGTAGGATGCATCATCCATAACACAGGCTGAAGAGAGAATACTAAATTACATTATGAACAAAACAGAAGTCTGTCACAGGTGGCTTGGTTGCACACCTAGACTACAGGCGGGGGGGAGGGATTTCTTTTCTAGTGCCACAATATTGGCCAGGATAAAAACCCCATTGAGGTGATCCCTCACATTTCTCGTGACTGTCATAGTTTAGGGACCTTTTTTCCTACTTGAAGTATTGACTAGCTGCGCACATAGAAAAGGGTCAGTCTGGTGAAGTCCTGATTGAAATTTATTGATAGTGTAACTACCCACCCACAGATGTTAAAGATTTGAAAACTATAAACTTACTGCTGTAGCAATTTTGAGGTGTACTAACAATGTAAGAGTAAGAAAATAAAATTGCACTGAAACAAAAACTATTCCAGTCACTCAGAACAGTAATAACAGCCCACATGGAGAACCAAACTTTACCAATCATGGTCAAGTTTTGTATATTATTTTTTTATGCTAATCCATTGAAGGTGTAAAAGATCGCCCAGAACAGAGACATGTGGAGAGTTCTTAGCAGCCTGTACCCTATACCAGGGTGAGAGAGGCAAAATTTAAAAAGAAATATTCAAATCATTTTTTTATAGGAGAGGGTTTTACGGCGCTTGCAACTGCATAAGGTCAAATGAGCGCCAAGGGGTGGGTGTCAACAGAGAAGTCTTTACAGGGAATCAGACTTAGACTGCTCACCTCTCTAGCTTCAACAGCACACGGTCTGCTTCGACTATCAAGGCACCCCAAAATGGCAGGTCACAAGAGAGTGACAAACATACAAAAGAAGTAGAGGAAAATGACAATAGTAAGGATCAGGAAAGAAAAAGCAGCAGTTCCCTGTTGTAGATCAGGCACAGTTATGAGCGTGACATGAATCAGCTCATTTACAATTCTACTATGCTTGAACGAGAAATGTCCCCCTTTGGGAATGGCCTAGAGACACTTCAGTCAGTGGCACTGCCCCGGAGGGGGTATTCAAATCAGATGCGAAGAACAAGAAGTGTATATTTATGTGTTAAAACCACAGCAACTGTCAAGAACATAGTGAATTAAAATTGCTGCAGTATTTTTCAGAAGCATATTGAATTTCGACATACGAAAACTTTAGGCTCACAATGGGGATAAAAAAAGGATTACATTCTCACCTCTCTGGCATGTTTTGCCATCTGACTGGATCTGAAAACTGTAGCCACACAGACACGACACGTCTCCTCCCGGTTTGTGAATACACATGTGACCACACCCACCATTGTCTGCTGAGCATGGACTGGACACTGTAACACAAACAGCATAATAATAGTGTGACTCAGTCTCAGCAGTAACCAAAAGCCTTGGTGCCTGTTGAAGGCACAAGTCAAGTCAATACAGATCATCACTGTAAATGTTCTACTCCCAAATCAATACATTTTAGATCATTCAGGAGGGGTATGCTTTGACCCTGCCTGTCAGGAAAGACCCGAGCAAAGTGAGATACAATATCAAGGACACAGACACGAGATACAATAAAATGACTTCTAACTTGAGAATAAAACTAGTAGTTTTTTTTCTGCAGTAGCAAATAGCCTAATCAATACGCCACAGATGCTGATTCAGTTAAGCTAAAATTACTGAGAGCAAAGATTCAACAAAATGTCACTTCATTCTTCTAGAAATAAGTACCTGACTTGTGTGGTGCGGCCAAGAACAGGCCAGAAAGTCTTGCTTTGTGAGTGTCAATCTGCGACTCTTTGCCATCACTCTTGAAATCTTTATGGAAGATAGAAGCGGAGCCAAGTTCCGTCCAGAATAACGTCGTCTTGTAGACAGATACAGAAATGGGATTTCCTCCAGCACTGAGAAGAAAACGTCAAGCATAATGAACTCATATCAGGAATTGAAAGAGGGGGGATATAATCTATAAACATCAATATTGTTCAAATTTGAAATGGTTTCTATAAGATTTTAACTATTTTTGGAAGCTCAGTGGTTCTCAGGTTATGATACCCTCCATGCAATTAACTGATCCTTCCAATGAAGACCATTCTCTTCAAAGACTATAGCCTTATTGTATATCCTTATTGTAAATCAAGAGAAGTAAGCATGCCTGAAAACTGTCACCAAAAAACGAAAAAAAAAATTAGCAAACCCATTTCAAAACATTACTTTCCAATTGCCTTGCCAACTTTTTCTGATATCGTTTTACTGAATATCTAAACTATCTAAAAAAAAAAAAGCAAAAGTTGAAACTTAAAAACTGCTTTTGCTTACATTGCATGTCGCTTTCTGTCCCCACCATCAAATCTAACAGATGACAAATCTCCAGTTGTAAAATCACTCCAGAAAAGACGTCCGTCATGGAGAGTGAGGGAGTTTGGCCTCTGTAGACCACGGGACACAATGGTGACGCACTGTGTACCATCCAGACGGCATTTCTTAATGCTGGCGGGCTCTCCCAAATCAGAGTAGAACAGTAATCTGAAATACAACATAATGATTTTAAGTGGCAAGTTCCTGTTAACTCTAATCTTTTCAGTAAGTGTTTTAATTGTCGTACGCCCCATCCGCACTATTTAAATTATTTTTTCAGCAGGTCAAAGCCAACTCTGGCTGAATGGGATACAGCACCCCAGCAGAAAGACATACTCGATAAAATAAACTTCCCCAAAAATTACTAAAATCAATTCTTTTGCGTGCAAGGTGTAGAGTCCAATCATTACACCATAGACGCTTGTTATCTTTGAAGAGAGAAACAAAATTTTCAGACTAATACATTCTCAAATGGAACCACATTGACAACAAAAAACCACTCACCCCTCTGCAGGACCAAGAGCCAAGGCATAAGGATAAGTGGCCGGGATCACTAACTTGTTTCTGTGACCTCCATCTAAAGATGAAATTTCTATAGTATTCTGAAAGATAAAAATTGTGCATCAGTCATCAGAGTTCAACAGAGAACACAATATTTTAAAAGTAATCTCTTTTAGTTTTAGTAGAGGTTTTACGGCGCTCGGAACTTCATACGGTCATATGAGTGCAAGAAGATAAGAGGTGTTACAAGAGAGAAACAAACATAAAAAAGAAGGGGAGATAAGGACGATAGACGTTTGATAGGAAAGAAGGAGCAAACCACACCAGAGCACCCGCCAACCACCCACAAAGTAATCTCTGAATTACAATAAAATTATTAGTATAAATAAAAAATAAAATTGACATGATCAGTAGTAAACTAATAAATTACAGCTAATCTGAAATAGCCTGGGAACAAAAGTTATTATATTGACCATAACTAATTTTGGAACACTTTTCTCATTTGCCTAGTTTTAATGACTTTAACATAAAGTGGTATATAACAGTGGAAACTAAAAGTTAGAGAAACCTTTTTCTGAGCATCTAGAAAAAAACAACCTAAAGCCTAAAGCAGAAGACAGTTTAACCAATTTACCCTATGCTGACAATATCAGGCGTTCAGGACAAAGCTAGATGTTACAAGACTGAATGGATATATATCACAATACGTTGTTGAACTTCACATTCTAAATGTTGAAACAAATCAAGAAAAAATATAATGTAAGTACATTTAAATTTGTAAAATTTTGCTTTTTGTGCTTAGTTCATTGTTGTGCCGAAGGCACGCAGGCAGCTAAGTATACATAGTTTCTTATTCAATAAGGTATATTTAGCTTTGAGTTCTATTTTGTTACCTTCAAGCTGTCAACCCAATAAATTACTGAGGAGGACTCATCCACCACCAAGCTTTCAACACCATGAAGATCTTCAAGAATGGGAGTGGACCTATGGGGAAAAGAATAAAAATGATTATATCACTCAACAGATATTTGATTCACTGATTGATCAGGTGTTTTACTGCACGATCGACATTGACAAATCTTAGAAATTTTTTCAGTTCAAACCAAAATCTCAGATAAATATCAACCTTGATGTCAAGCTTCACATGAACCTGCACTGGCCGAAGGAAATGAATGCTAAAAAGGGTCTGCAAAATAGAACCACAATCTTTCTTGCCACATTTCACCTATGAACACCAACTTGAGCACCATTATATCTTACACTAAAATCTGTATGCAGTGCCAACTTCACTTGAGAGTAGCTTACAATGACAATTCCTTTACAAACAAGTGAAAAGATATTTAGGTAGGAGACAGGTATTTACAGAGAAATACACTAGTCTACGACATGGCATCAGTGGTTTATTGGTTAGGCTCTCCGACCTTTATTTCGTGGAGTTAACATTGTCTTTGACAAAAGCACTTAACATGAATTTTTCTCACGTCACAGGAATGGGTAACTGGCAATAAAAAACAGAAGATCATGTCAGTTTGTTGGTGCTTTAGCAAGAGTTATCTGCAGCTTGCACTGTATTCCTCCCAAGAAATCGAGAAGGTTTCTGGGTCTGCTGGGGTAATATTAGTCGTAAAGTGTATAGAGCAGACTGTAGAGCCTGGATATGTGCAATAAAAATGCACATAATAATATATCTAATCATGATGATCAGAACTGCAAAAAGCATGACATCGCACTTTGACAGAAGTACAAATTATCTGCAGCTCCCACAACCGCCATCAACAAACAAGTTCAGATTTATATTGAGTTCAGCAATGGCATCTTTTACTCTTTCAGAAAGTTTTACTCTCTAAGAAAAGAAGCTGCAAAAGGATTCAATGCAAAAGCTGCAAAAGGGTTCAATGCAACAGGCCATTAACAGCCTGTTCAGTGCAGTTATGAGAGTACACGCATTTAACTCTGGGAAGCCAACCCTCAAGGGTTTGCTTACTGATGGGGGGGGGGTTAATTAATTGAGTAGATGTTTTACTGCACTATCACCCCAATGCTTACAGATCTGTAGCACTTATAATTGTACTCCACACAACGAGGTTGAGCCAAAAGCAAATGTACATATTTGACATTCGTGTCACAATGTGGTGGAATCAGGCGCTCATCAATTTTGGGGAGTATAGAGGGTTTTTTTTATATCATCTTAAAGTTGTTCATTTGTATTGCATTTTGCGAAAAATATACACCTTTATCTTGATTTAAGTGGAGATATTGTTCTTGCAGGCGATGGGGTCGCCTAGTGTAAGAGGTAAAACCTAGTGAGAAAATGGCCACCAAAATTTGGTGACTTCCAAAGCTTTAGAGTCCTTGGCAACTGGAAATTTACATTTTTGGTGCCTTTAATTTAATTAATGTTTTTCGGTAACATCTACTCAGAAATGCATTTTTTAAAGGACATAAAAATTTTTGATCCAAAAATAGACATTTTAAAAAAAATTACCCAACACCCAGAAAGATGCCACTTCTGTGTTTCATTGTTTTGACGAGAGTCTGATTTAACCACGTTGCCTCACATTTATGGTACAAGATATTGAGAAACACATACACCATGTAAAGCAGGAAACTCACTTTGGTTCTTCTTTTAATCCGCTGAGCTTGTAAATGCCAATCTTGCCACTTTCCATAGATGTCGAGTATAAAACTTCATGAGACTTTGAGAGGTACGTCAAGACAAACACATTCCTCATGTTGTCTGTCTTTAGAGAACTGACCAGTGGCTCCCCAGCAACAGACAGTTTGACACTAATAATTTCTTCACGTGCCGATGCAATCAAGAATGCGGCAGAGCTCTCATCCAAAGTTTCTGAAACATACAATTAATATGGATGAAAAAAATATTAAAGCTGTAGTCATTTGAAAATAGAATTATTATGAAAGGTTAAATTACAAAATACGGCAAGATAATATAACAAATTACAAGCCATATTTCATAAATTTGCAAAGGGTTTTAAAACAGAAGACCTTTCAAGCTAATCTGGTTTTGAAATGTTAAAATTCTAAAAATGTAAATGTACCCTTAGAGAAAGCAGTTCAAAACACCATTCCACCACTTCTTGATTCATTTTTTTGTTTTGTTTTTCCTTTCAAAACAGTCACTAAGGATACTCATCTAAAAAAATTAACAAGACAGTTTACGCAGAATCCCATCTTTAATGGAATATGTATCAATAATAATAAATAGCATTTGTACAGCACAAATTCCCACTCAACGGCAAGTTTTATGCACTTTACAATCTATACTATTACCCAAGCAGATCAGATGGAATTCTGAAACAATCTCTCTGGGAAGCGTGCAGTGCAAGCAGCCATTTTGCAGGTTCTAAATCATTAACATACTGCACACCCTTACCTAAATCATCAACCTGTACCCTTTATCTACTAACCATTACAGATTCATGTGAAATACAATGTCCCATTTACCGTGGCAATATTGCCCTGAGTCATCCAGCTCATAACCCTCTGCGCATGCACAGGTGGCGTCACCATCTGTTCCACTCAAACAGATATGGCTGCATTTTTTCAAGAAACAGTCGTGGAACCCTGAGAAAAGTGAATGCAACGAAGGAAAGATGAGAAATTGAACCTCATGAGTTGTTTTAGTTCAGTTTGAATAATTAGAGGGTTTAGTTTTAGTAAGTGTTTTACGGCTCTTGCAACACAAAAAGATCATATAAGTGTCGAAGATTAGAGATGTTACAAGAGAGTAACACACACAATAAAAGAAGGAAAGATTATAAGGACGATAGATGTTAGATAGGAAAGAAGGAGCAAACCACACCAGAGCACCCACCAACCACCCACTATTAGAGGTTTACAGTGCTTGCACCACAAACAGGTCATATATGGGCAGAGGACTAGATTAGAGGTGTTACTAAAGAGCAACATACAAAGAAAAGGAGGAGAAATATGGACAATGTTTGTTTGGGTAGGTGTTTCATGGCACTATCGACTCATTTTTGGTCATGTTAGCCCCAAAAAACGTTTCACTGTTGCAAATCTAGTTTTGTACAATAAGAATGATAGAATGATAGATGATTCATAGGATAAGACAGAGCAAACCACAATATGAGGTGTTTCAAGGAGAATTCAACTGAATAAAAATATTGATACAATGACTACAATTTGCCAGGAAGCAGATGGAGACAAATACAGAAACACAGAAACAGTTGAAGGAGTAGACCACACCTGACCACCCACCAGCAAAATCTGACAGGAGTTTTGAGTTTGAGTTCGAGAAAAGAGAAGTGCATCAACACAATAATAGTCATATGGTGCAGGGAAAAAGCAAGACAGAAAAACTAAAGAGGGAAAGATAAATAGGACCCATCAGTGGCATCCTCCAACCACGTGCCCAAACAAGGAGCTGAGGTTTCAGGTCATGAGACATATAAAAGAAAATGACAGCTGCACTGTGCACAGAAGAAGATGCGATGAAATAAACCTATTGTCCAGATGCTGGCACGTTGGTTTGGTGTTTCACCTCATGCACGCATGCACACACAAACACACACACACACACACACACACACACACACACGCGCGCGCACACACACACACACTTGCCTGTACTCATACACAAACAGATAAAAGAAACACTGAAAACAAAGAGTGACGAACAAACATCTTAGCCTCATTTAAACTCATAAAAAGTAAGCTAAGGAAAAAAATTGAAGACTCATTTTAAAAAGAAGAAAAATAAATCTCAAGTGACGTATTGGATAGAGAAGTAAGACCTGTCAAAGCAACTCTCTGCCAACTTCCTCACAAATTCAAAGAAAAATCTACATCAGTCAAACAATACTTAGATAATAATATATTCTTTTAAATAATAATAATAATTTTGTTTAAAATAATAATAAATGACAATTATAATTTATAATAATAAATTATAGTAATAATCATAATAAAAACAAGAACTGCATTTGTATAGCATATATATCCACACTCTACGACATGCTCTATGGGCTTTACACTACTATTACCCCAGCAGACCCTATTAGAACACTCAGAAACATTTTCAGCTTCCTAGGAAGCATACTGTGCAAGCTGCGGATTACACACTCTCAAAAACAAATTCCTGACAAGATCTTTCACTGTCTATAGTTGGGCACCCATTACAGTACACAAAGACGAAGGGTGAAAAGATACCATCAGCAGGTGCAGCCAAGCTACTGTGCATAACAGAAAGTGATACACAGGCTGGGGTTTCCTGGACCATAGTGTGCAATTTCGTGCCGGAGAACTTGTTTGCAGACACGATACTATGCTTGTCTCTACTCGCCCAGATAATCTTATCTTCAAACACAGCCAGAGTGGATGGGACAGCTGACAAGGAGCTGGCCACAGTCTGTAACAAACAAATTGAGAATTGGAAAATGAAGAAAGGACGGGTTTGAGTTTGAGTAAAGAGAAGCACACAAACTCAAAGCCGCACACCAACTTAATACCAGTATACTTAGTACGTAGTGTACGGGAAAAAAACAAACAAATATACAGAATCATGAGGGAAAGCAAAAAAGTGTGAGCTTCTAATTAATGATACCCTCCAACCACCTGCAAGAATTGACAGGGCTCTACTCTAAATAACATACACAGCACAGGCTTTGAAATAACAGACAACTAAAAGTCAGTATGAAGAAACAACATCCACAGTATTTTTCAAGGCTTCAAGAATTTCACTGAGATCTGACATGAATTGACAAGTATTTTGAAGCCCCAAAGGGAGGTGCATAAAATGATTTACACCAAATCCTAGATCTGCTTTGTTAAAAGGTAAAAAAAATATTTTGTGTAGCCGTTTTACGCCCCCATCAACACAATTTTGACTATTCAGGAGGTGAGCTTCAACCTTGCCTGTCAGGGCCGAGACTAAGACACTTGATAAAAATTCTCTCCACATTGAAATCAAACTCAGGTCTTTTACACGTGAGAGTAAAGTGACTAACCACTACACAGATGCCGATGAGGTAAAAAAATAAACAAAATCTTGTTCTAACAAACTTGTCCCCTTTCATTTCTTTACACTGTCTTTGACTAGCATGGCAGCTGCTGGCCATATGTAATCAGCAGGTGAAATTGTTGAGTTGACTTACTTTGCCACTTCATAAAGAAAAGGGCATACTCACTTGTCACCTTGAAAATACTCAAAAAGCATGCAAAATATTCATCACAAACTTCATGTATGATTTTCTGAGAGCTCTTCTCTTAAACTTAAAAAAAAATCTGAACTCATTTTAAAAGGTTGAAAGACAACGTTTTATAACTGACCCGTCTCTGTGTGCCATCCAGCCTGACACTTTCCACCATATGGTAGAAGCTGTCGTACCAGAACAGCAGATCAGTGGTGGTGTCCAGACTCAGGGCAGTCACGTGACGCAGCCGAGACGAGATGAAAGGATCGGCCAAATTGCCATCCATTGTGCCATTCATTATCACAGACGTGCCAGCATCATCATGATCCACCCAGTAAAGAATGCTGAAAATAAGTATCACAGACAGTGACACCTCCATACAAAACAGTACGCTTAATTTCAAAACTAGACATTAACTCTTTAGCTCCATGGGGGGGGGGGGGGGGGGCGCAACTCACCATGCCGGGCCCCTTCATGGGTACTAAATCTAAAAATGACAAAAATGTTACTAAATTGTTAATAAAATCAAAACAAGTGAACCTATTTTGATAGTTCTTCATCTAATGAATGAACTCCCAATAAAAAAGATCTGTTTTTGGAAATTGTCTAAAAGTAATATTTGATGCCGAAGTCGTCGTAAAGTAATGCACCCGAGCCACATCAGCGGCTCACCGGCACATGGGTTCTCACCGCGAGCCACTGGGAGCGGCTTGCCGGACAAAAAGAGTTAAAATGGCCTTTTAACAGCTCTGGCTTTGTTTCCCATTACTATAAGAGTTGAATTCTCAACTAATATATGCTTCAAATTATCTTAAAGGAAAAGTGCTTTGTCCTGTGGCTAAACTAAGGAGCAAAAACAGTGCTGAGTAAGTGTTATGAGACTGCTTCATTCTTTCTAAAGCCACAGACTTTTTCTCACCATACTGATTGTTGAGAAAGAGAAAACTCAAGTTGACTTACATCAACCCAACAATTATTTTTTTTTAAGTCACTCTGACAGGATTGTATTTCAATCTTAAGAAAAGATTCAAATTCGAATATTACTTAATTAAGCTGTTACTGACAATAGACTCAAACATATGTTAGAGCGATATACACATTTTTTAAAAACCTCTTCATACCCTTTTTGTACATGCAGAACTAAAGACGCAGGGTAGTTCAAGGAGAAACTGTTAAAAACAGTGGTGCATAGTCCATGAACAGTACACACAAGGATGGCCGGTTTGCCTTGGTCAAGAATGTAAAGGTTTTCCCTCAGATGATCATAGTCCAGATCTACTGGCTTTACAAGACCTGAAAAGGATTTTGAAAAGGCTGCTGTTAACTCAACAGTTCAGTTATATTTCCTGTCTGTCCACTCAATGCTTTACTTCACAATGTAAAAATACAACTGCTCTTTCAATTTTGTGTTAGCATAAGATTTTACTCTTGTTATCAACCTGCTTTGTTCATTGTATACAAATTGAATTTTTTTTTTCATTAGTCATCGTTCATAACCAAATATAATTTTTGTACTTGTCAAGTATTGTAGAGTACATAAAAACAAATAGACAAGCGCAGACAAAGTAATGAAGTTCACAAAAATAAAAACAGCTCATCACAATATAATAACACAGACAGGAAAAATCTTAAATTTTAAATACAACAAGCCTTGGCTGTTTAAAAAAAAGAAAAATGTACAAAATACAGATACTCTTAGACTTTTTTTTAAATTGTGAGAAAGCAACACTTCGCCCTTTTCCCTCATGTGAGACACAAAAAGAAAAGAGTAGAGTAAGAAATCAGCAATCAGCCCTTAATGTAAAAGCATACCAAAACTTGCGATGGTTGTTTTCGAGTGCTGTGGATTGACGAGATCAAGAGAGAAAACTCCAGGATTGCTTCTATCATCTCCTTGCTCTGACCAGAAGATTCGATGTTCTTTGTTATCTATAGCTGAAAGTAGATAAAAAGGAAGAAAAAATAAAACAAAAAATAAAGACATTTCAAATTCATTTACCACAATTTTCTACCTTCCTAGATGTGATTTCTTCCACCAGCAGGCACCTGTATAGTACATCACTTAAGTTTTGTTCACTGATTTATATGTTTGTTTAGCAAAATATCATACCACTTATCATATATCAAATGAAAGGAAATTGAAAGAGTCTTTGACAAAATGATAGTTTTTGGACCAAATCATGGATGCTATTTCGGAAAGACTGAACAGGGAGAGTTTGAGTATTCATAAAGGTATATAATATTCAAGCCAATGATACTGCTCATCGTAGTTGTGAGGAAGAGCTGAGCTTATCAGTCGGCGTGTTGCTGTGAATGAGTCAATACAGATTGTATCAACATTCAAAATCATTTCTTTTTTTTTTTTAATGATAAATACAAGAAACAAAATATCGGTAAGCATCAAGATAAAGTTGTAGCTAACTACAAGCTAAAAAAGAAGAGAAAAAAAGTGAGGAGTTAACCACACCAGAGCACACATGCAACAATGACCAAAAACAGACTAGATGATCAATAAGTAACCCTATATCTCAGAAAAAAACCCACAAGGGCATTGATGGCAAAATGCCCATCTGCTGGTTTTAAAAAGTAAGAAAGTAAAAATTCAAGCTACCTATGTCCTGCAGCCCATTCAGTCCTTCCATCACCACATCATATTCGTGTTTGTGAAGTGTGAAGGTTCGGATCTCATCAGGTGTTGCCAGAACAAGTATCGGTTCGAGACCTGAGAAATTATCATTCAAGGTGTAAAAACTAGCCTTTAACTTATGGAAAATGTGATTAAAGTATATCGACTCCTCAGTGTAATAACTCTATCATACGACACTTTCACTTTTTTAAATGGCATATGACGGAGTTTTACATTAAGCAGTCGATGTTAATCACCACTTTCAACACAAGCTAATTATGAAAGAGTTCTGGGGTTTTTTTTTAAGTTTTAGTAAGAATTTTACAGCACTTGAAAACACAAACAGGTCAAGAGACCTGAAGATTAAAAGTGTTACTAGAAGGTAAACAAACAAAGCAAAGAAAAACAGACGTTTGATAGGAAAGAAGGAGCAAACCACACGAGAGCACCCGCCAACCGCCCATTAAGAATAAGTATAAACTTCCACACAAAAAAACAATCTCCAATGAAGATTGAATCAGTTTCAAACTTGTTGCATCAGCAGACTAACATCAGCCTAGTATTAATACAGTATCATGGCGAAGTATAGGGAAAAAACTGCCATACCTGTATTAATTTTTTTAAATTTTAAAGTAAGTGTTTTATGGCTCTTGCAACACAATGAGGTCATAAAAGTGCCGAAGATTAGAGGTGACATAAGGGAGTAACAAACACAAAAAAGAAGGAGGGGAGACAACGACTACAATAATAATAATAATAATGATTGATTGATTTATTGATTGGGTAGATGTTTTACGGCACTATCGACACAATTTTGGTCATTTAAGCGCCATCAGGTTTCATCGCTACAAAATCAGACGTGTTTTAATAAAGAGTCTTTCGGAGCTCGCAACCGCAAACGATCACACTATTTCTATTATGCTAAAAAGACGAACAAACATTTATAAAAAAATTTTGTAAATATGGAAAAGGCTTATTTACATTTGTATATACAATACAAATTTCGGTGTATGTATATATACACCGTATGTATATATACACCGACAACGACAACTATATATTTTCACATTTTATTAAACAGTCCAATTTCTTTTATAAAACTTAAAATTCTTCTAGGTTCTATGATGTTAAAAAGGGTCTTAATATCTTTACATTTAAAATATTTATCACGGACATAATTAAAGTCGACACATTCCATTAGGATGTGCCGAACTGTGAAATTTGTGTTGCACGCCACGCAAAAAGGAGCTTCCTCTCCCTCGAGCAAATGTTTGTGCGTGACGTGCGTGTGTCCTATTTTTAGTCGGGTAAAAATTACTTTTTCTCTTCGTGGTAGAGAAAATGGTTTCCTGGGTGTAAGTTTCGGTTGAATGTAATGGAGTTTGTTGTGTATTTGTTGATTCCAACTTTGGGACCAGGAGGATGTGATGTGAATAATAATAATAAGGATGATAATAATAATAACTACAATAATAATAATAATATAGATTGCAAACATATAGCGCTCTACCCATAGAAGTATTTAAACTGAGCACTTTACTGAGGGCATGATTACTGAATTGAATAGGTGTTTTACGACACTATCAACTCAGTTTTGGACATATAAGTGCCAAAAAACGTTTCAATATTAGTTTTGGTTAAATGCAATGGAGGTATGCTCAACATGGTAAAAGGCTCAATGACGTCTTCAGAAAAATCAAGGTCTCGGCGACCGTTTTGGATTCTCATTCCGAAAGGGCTTACTTTATTTCTTAAGGAGCATGAGGTTTTTAGGTCTTCGGGAAGGCCAAAGACACATTTGTGGGCTGGGTTTGGGGGTACTGAGCCACATTTCAAAGTGTACGCCAAAGAGAGTTTTTTTTCTTGAAGTTCGGGAGATGGTTCATGAACTTGACATGATTAGTGAGAGTAAAATCACACATACACACACCAAAAGAAAATTTCTTATAAATATGAAAACCAGTTCAACTACATAAGGCATAAGGAAGAACTTTCTCATCCACATATTGATTATATATATATACAAATAAAGATAGTGAAAACAAGATACATCAGCACCTAATAATGACAGTTGAAAAACTAGCACATGGGTATCAAACAAGTGAGCCTGGCCAGATTGAATAATATAATGACTATCGACATTTATATGATCACGCAGTCAACAACACAGGATCGAATTTTATTGAACTGAAGTCTAAATACAAATCTTCAGGGTCAATATTCTGAGCATATTACCTGTAGCTTTACACGTTCTGCTGTCAGGAGCAAGTTCATATCCACTGGCACATTCACAGCGAAAACTGCCTGGTGTATTCTGACAGTGTTGACTGCATACCTGCTCATTTGTCTGGCTGCATTCATCTATGTCTGATGGAATAAAGGAAAAACGGAAAAAGGAAAATAAAATAAATGTGAGGCATCATGAGCTCTATGTGCTTTACGCTATATGAGGCAGCGTGGTGAAATCCTGTGCTCGTCAAAACATTGTTAGCCATCCAGTAGCATCTGAGCGTTAACTCTTCTGCATGATGCCATTCGGTAATAGCTGCATGTCTGTTCTAATAGTTGTCTTGAAGAGTAGAGGCAATTAGATGTGTGGGGTAGCTTGGGAAGAAAACATCCCCTTAAATCATTTAGTTTTCTACAGAAGAACAGATGATGTTCCACTGTCTCAGTCAAAACATTAAAATCAATGAAACAAGCATTTTTCTGGGCATTTGGCATTTTTTTTTTCAAATTTTCTTTTATGGCTCAGCACCTTTTTGTGAGCTTTTCAAAGTGCATTTTTGCGGTGATATTATTGCAGAAAAACATTCATTAAAATTAAAGGTACAAAAATTGTTAATTTTTAGTTTCCAAGGACACTCAAGCTGTGGAAGTCACCAAACTTTAGCAGACATTTTCTCGCTAATTTTACCTCTCATACCAGGTAACCCACCTCCAATCGCAATAATCTTGACTTCTATTAAAGATAGAAGGTATTTTTTCCCAAAATACAAGACAAATGTTTAAGATGATAACTCTATGTGCCCAAAAATTGACTAGCGCCTGATTCCACTGCACCATGACATTTGTAAATATGTCTATATCTCTCCTGACTATGATGGGTGACGATTTTTTTAAAGTTTGACAATGACTTGAAAGTAATATTTCCACTTACCGGTGCATGGTTGGTCAGCCGTAACGTCCAGTTGATATCCTCTGTCGCAAACACATTTGGTTCCACTTGGGCTTGGTTGGCAGAAATGGCAGTTTTTATTGCAAGTTTCCGCTGTAAATAAAAAATAGAATCCGTAAAAAACTGTAAGGTGTTGACAATGCAAAGAGGCTTCCTTGTCTTTTTTTTTAAAGAGGCTTCAAATTAACAGTGGGGATTTTAACCTCATAATTTAGCTTATATAGGCTTACATTACAGTATACAAATTATACATGACATGAATACAGTGCTGTTTAACCAGCCAAAGAATAATCTTAAATCATTTCCATTGGAAGGGGACTCATGGTCTAGAGGTACAGTGTTTGCCTCTCAGTCAAAAAGTTCCAGGATCAAATTCTGCCGGTGATGAAAACATTTTCTTCTCCAAAATGTAATGTTGTTCATTGAAGTCCTTTCCTGTTCTGTCATCTTTTATCCCCACTTTCTTCCACCTCTCTCTCTCTGCTTCTCGCTCCGTCACTCCTAACTCTTTCTACTGCTACTTCAGGTGCTTTTTCACTGCAGTCTTTCAGACACACCTACACACCCCTGATGTTAAGGTAGCTAAGATCGAACACCTAGCCTTCTCAATACGGAAAAAAAAATCTTGCAAGTCTAGTGTACAGTTTGTGTTTGTGTACTCGAAAGAGCCATTGGTGGTCCTAAAATAGATAAGAGAAAATTTTGAAATTCATTCCTACCAAAACTACACATTTTTCGCCAGTAAAAAAAAATAAAGAGTACATCCCAAATTGGAAAGTAATCGCGTGTGCAAAAATTAGTTGCACTGCAGGTTGAGGAATGAGCAGTCGACTACCCTTGAGATCTGGCAAGAGAATACGAAGAAGATTTCCACCAGATTCACTCATTCATTCAGTGTTAAATAGTGAGTAAAGTGGAACAATCTGTCAGTTTGAAATACTATAAATATCTTAGTGAGTCAAAATAATATGACATTGCCAGTGAGCCATGTTTGATATGTTAAAAAAAAGGTGGCAGTATAACTATAAGGTCAAAATGAAGAAAAATAAACCATTCCCATTTGAGGTCCCAATCGGAGGTGGTCACAGGCTTAAAGGACTTACGAAGGCTAATTAAAATAGTTCTTTTTAAATAAAAGGGAAGCGATAAGAAGGTTGTTTTTTTTTTTTTGTTTACGTTTTTTTTGTTTTGCTGATTTTGTGCAAGGGTAATGTAATGAAATGTGTCAGATGGGGAAAACAGTGCTACGGTAAAACAAACACATGGTTCGCCACCACTCCAAGACACTTCTGTCACAAGTTCATGTTGACATCTAGAGACCGCTTATCACACAGTTTGTGAGTTTGAGTTGTTGGGCAGGGCTCATAGGTCATGACGGATCGCACACTTCCCTCACCAGCATCTGAAAATTTATTGTTACCCTTTGGTCAACTTGGGTAACATAATATGGAGGCCACGGCCATGTTGGACAAGTGACTTTTTCCATGAAATTTTATAGAGGAAATGGAAACTGGATGTTTGTAAAGGATGCCGTATCTTACAGCTGATATCATAGCAGGTTGTACTATTTAACTGATACAACACAGCATTTTTCTAGCTTTCTTGGTAGGGAGGGGGAAAAAACTTACAACAATTGTACAACTCATCCGAACCATCGGGACAATCTTTTGAACCATCGCATACTGTGAGAGCCATGACACACCCAGAAAAGTCAGCACAGAGGAAGTCATGAGGCTGTTCTTTGCACATGATCTTGCCAGAATCTGTTCAATGAAATTCAAAATAAAAGTTAATTCACACTTACAATCATAGTATGGTTACAAATCTGGAAAAAGAAAGAGCTTACTTACACTGAATAAATCAGCTTGGTAAAGGTCCTTGTAAATAGTTTTAGGAGTCTAATCAGAATTCAGCCCGAAAGAAGCATAATAACAACAAAAAAAACCTATTCAGTAACTTGACTCAAAGATTCTCACAAAAGCATACCACAGAACAACAATAGAAGAAAAAAATTCTCCTCTATCTCACATACGCAGCGGAATTATAGAATAAGAACACAGCACTTACCTCATGAGAACTTGAGAAAGGGTAGTTGTAAAAATAAGCCACATGTGAGCATGCAAGCTAAAATCCAAACACATCACTGTAACTTCTGTCCTAATTTTAATAAAAGTAATTCTTATGTTTATTGTAGGCTCAAAAAATAGAGACACAAACATCAAGATTAATCCTGCACATCTTTTTTGATATTTCATCATTACCATTGTCGTCGTCGTTATCGTCATCAGCGTCACAATCAAATCCCAAACAATTTTTCTTTTATCTATTCCATTTCTTCTTGAAGCATAAAACAATTGCTGAGGTCTACAAGTTGACGCTATCTTCGTAACTTACAAATATATATATATATTCAGTGAAAAATCAAAAATCTGATGCTCACCACATTCATCTTCATCTGAGCCATCCTTGCAATCAACAACGCCATCACACAGGTGTTGATAGGCAATGCAGTAAGAGTCATTTTTGCACAAAAACTGGTCAGTCCTGCATGTTACTGGACCTAGTCAAAATATGAAGAGATGATAAAATATTAGGATAGCATATTAGAATATTGAGGAGAGCAGGGAGGCTTCAGACACTTGACATTTGGCTCCACCATTTGGTTCGAGAACATTCTGAGCCAAATACAAAAAGCTAGCAATATCAGCTTTGCGCATCACCACAGTAGCATTCTAAGGTACCCCGAGTTGTCTCAGACCACCCAACTCAGTCCGAGACATTGGAAAAATGTGAGTTTAACTTCGGAAGAAAAGGAATGACTGATAATGTTTCAAGTACACTAAAATGCATGTATTTTTGAGTGGCAAAATTTGACCACAGCGTACATCTATAGCTCTATCTTTTTATTTGAGGTGTGACAATGTATTTCACACTCAGCTGAAATCATATTAAAAAATCAAACCACACCCAAAAACCAGTTCGCTTAAAATTTTATACATTAAACATTACATTGTTTGGTTTAAATTTCCCTCTTTGTCTTTGAAAAACAGCTCATTGGAGCCATTAAGTTACATTTTGAAGCACTAAAGAGAGAAAATGAATTTTTTTCAAGGTTAGTTCCTAAGTCTGTCATCTGAATTTGTGGTAAGTGCACAGCAACCATAACTTTTTATAGCCTAATGCTCGCTCTCAGACGTATGTACTCTGGTGTGAATTCAAGTATGTTTCTTGAACTTTGGCTGTTTGATAGCTTTTCATTTTGTGGCTCCCCTTGGCCTTAACTGTCCTGATGGAGAAGGCGACAAGAAAATAGAGGGCTCTCGTGGCCTACTGGAGGTTAAGGAGTTCGCCTCTCATCAAATAGATCCCCTTAAATGTTCTCCTTTCAACTCCTTTCCGGCGATCTCTATATGTTCAGTGTTCAGTCGTCTGTTTTCTTCTCCACTTTCTGTCCCCTCCCAACTCCTTTGCCCCATCCTCTGGGGCTCCTGACTGTTTCTGCAGCCTTTCTAATGCTACTCCTGGGCTCCTTTTACAGCCGTCTTTCAGCTACACCCCTGATCTTCAGGTAGGAAAAATCTAGATTCTATATCTAGCCTTCTCGGACAAGGGTGAAAAATCTCGGAGGCCCCGTGTGCAAGTTGCGTACTAAAATTAAGATCTCTGGTAGTCCAAAATCAATAAGAGTAGGCTTCGGCCGCCACCCAGGGAAAAATTCAAAATTTCCTTCCAACTGGAAATGTTAAAAGTGTCCCGCGCGCTCATATGACATGACCTAGATCTATGTATGCAGTTGCAAGCGCTGTAAAACATTTAACACTCACAAAAAATGGAGTTTTACCCTGTCAAATGAGCTGACAATTAGGTCTACAGGGGGGGAGTCTCCGGCCCGGGAAATACATTATAGATCTAGAGCTAGATTCTAGACATCACAAGTCAAGTTTAAACAAAACTTTTCATAGTGAATTTACCGCTTTACAATTAGATCTACTCATTGGCATTACTCTCATGTTAGTCGACTTAGACCAATGATAGTGACTCAGTCTAGATATAGATCTAGATTCTAGAATCTAGCTAGCGTAACATATGGGTAGACCCGTACAGTGCCAAGGGCAAGGCAAAGATACATCTAGATCTAGATCTAGATCTAAATCTAGATCTAGAATCTAGATCTAGATTATATTATCCAGAACTAAGGTATGAATACTTTGATAGACCTCAGGCGTAGTGGAAAACAATTTCCTTCCCAGCAGACGGAATGTTTCGCATCATAAGGCGGCAAAGTAGAGTGGAGTGTGGAGAGGAACTAACATGGCAACTGGCCTGGCAACTGGCAACTGGCAACTGGCAAAGTCAAAGACGCGCGCGCGCTTGGCTTGGCTCAGCTCCACGTGACACATCATGTGATTTGTGTGTGATCCAGCCACTAAGCGATAGAGCCTAGGCTAGTAGCCTACTAGTGTGACTGAGAACGCCTACTTGGGCGCAACTTATCCTCAAATATTTGAAATATCTCTTTTACGGGTGAATCAATGTCATTCGTACTTTACATAGCAGTTTGTATCAATTTGTCTTAACTAAATCATATTTTTCCAGAGCAATTGGGGCTATATTAAAAAAAACTTTTCTTCATAAACGTATATATAAAATCTTAATACTTGAAATCTGTCACGCGTAAAATGGTAATGTTCACAGCACTTCCCACGTCTCACACATTTTTATTACACATATTGGCCTACGCCACAGTTCATCAATAACAATTTTTACTTGCAAAACTTGTTACAAGAAGTTATTTTTATAGTGAACACATTTTTTGCACTTATAATGGCTCTCAAAACATGCGTCCAAGAAGAACAATGTCTCGATTAGAAAAACGTGACGGACTTGCTATTTAAAGCAATGTTGCCCTAATCTAGCTGTAAACATTTTAAAAATCTGTAGAAACCACCCACTTGGATATTTTATTAGCATTTATAAAGAAATTTTCTAGAATACAGCTTGCAGGTGTTTTAAAAAATGATCTGTAAAGACAAATTGATACAAGTCACTGTGCAAAAATTGGAGAACCTTTGATATATAGATCTAGTTGAGGAGATATTTGACAATAAGTCGCGCCACGAATTTTTGACCACACTATGGGCCCTGACTCTATAGGCGATCTACTACTGTAACCGTAACAGCCTGTACAGACTTTGCTTATGCAGACTGTAGATCGAGATCTATATTCTAGTTAATCCGAAATCTCCCCATTCTCCTTACTAACAACGTATGTAGGCCTAAGATTTATAAACTTTTTTTAAAAAACGGAAAAAAGAAAAAACAACAACAGCAGAATACAATATAGGCCTAATAGGCTTAATGTCAAACTCATTGCCAAATATAAGACGAGTTGAAATATAAGACAAGTTGACATATCAATTAGATAACTATGAGAGCACATTTTCCAAAAGGTTAAATCTGTACATTTTGCCATATTTATTATTGACATTGACATTGACGATTTAGTAAGTAGAGCCTGTTCAACTATCTGGTAATGAATGACTATAATGCATTGCATGCAGGCTAGACAAATCAGTTATTATTGTTGGAGCAGGAGGAAATCAAACCTTTAGTCAAACTTAGATTCTAGAAATTAAAAATCATAGTCCCCATGCGATTTAATGTTTAGATCTAGAGTGAGGATCATAGCAACAACAAAAAGTTAGGGTTCAACAAATAGATTCAGAATCTCTCTTTTTTTTCCACACATATAGAATCTAATCTAGATCTAGTCATAATTTAAAGCATTCTTACAATTCAGTTCATCACTTCCGTCTCGACAATCAGCAAAGCCATCACATGCTTCTTCCTGGGGGATGCAGGCCTTTGGATCCACGCACACAAAGTCATGCACAGTGTCGCATTTTGCAGTGAGAGTGATATTGCCTGTAGAAAAATTCCAGTTGTACGCATTACACATCGAATGTTTATTAGATAAGCTTTGAGTAGTCCTACAGTTTGAAAATCAAAGCAGCCTATTTGCTTTACTTGTGACCAGATCACCCATGGAGTGCGCGCGTTGTGAGCACCGTAATCACCAAAACAAATCCATGGAGCGTAAATAAGATGGTTGATCTATAATTATATATAATATATTTATACGTGTCTCATTTCTACACAAAAAACTAAGCTGGAGAGATATTCAAATCCCACTTGGGAGAGACTGAAAAATAATTATGATCTACCAGAAATAGGTCTCGGACATCTTATGTTTTTTTGGTGGTTGTTTCGTTACGTTGATTTTTGTTGTTGTTGTTGTTGTTTTTTGGGGGGGGATGTTTTGTTTGTTTGTTCTTTTTTAGGGGGATACGACAGACTATCAGCATAAATGTCCGCCCCGCTCCCCCCCTCCCCCCTTCCAACGGCGCTCCAACTGCGTTACTGCATACGGTCCATTTCTCTGTCTCTCCCCCTTTCTCCCTCTCCCTCTATCCCCTCCCTCCTCCATTTCTCTCTCTCTCTCT